TGAAGGCACCCCAGGGTGCCTGGGCACCCTGGTTGAGAAAGGCTGATCTAAGCACAGGCTCACTTCATTTAGCAATAAGTTGTCTTTTACCATCCTATCGCTCTTCTAACTTCCTCCTGTTTAACATCTTGAAATGCATACTGGGTACGTTTCTATAAATATATGCTGCTGAAAGGTCTCTAGGAGTAATCGGCTAGACAGTTTGATTATTTAATTTGAGCTCCAGCAGCTGTATTACTCATTGTCTCTAGTTACTTAGATTTGTTTTTTTCGTGTAGAGAAGAAAAAAAACTCTATCATATTTGCAGTGTTTTTTGATTTCCTGACAAAAAAAAGGCAAAGAGCTTCAGGTACGCTTCTCTAATTCAATTAAAAAGCAAATATGCAAAGCCAATCAAAAAAGACAGAAAAAGATGATCAAAAAAACAATACCAAATTTTATTCGTTAATTATTTTGTACTGTTTTGGTCATCCCTAAAAGGTTTCTTTTTTTTTGATTGGTTTTGCATATTTGCTTTTTGGTTGACTTTGTAATCAGGGTCTATTTCTAATTTTTTTTCTCCTGTTAGGTCTTGCCTCCCCATAGAAATGTTTAGATTTTCTTTCCTCTTGTATGACTTCAACTGATCTTTTAAAAATATTTTAAAAATTACACTCTACCCTCAATTGCCATCACCCTTACCACATTCCTGAAAAACTGCAAAAATTCTAAAATATCCTCTTGAAGACCCGCTAACGTATATACACATTACAGGCTTCAAGTGGTTATGGTATGTTTTTTTTTTTTTTCTATCGGGGCGGCCGCCTTTTTTGTAAAAGCCATCCGAGTAGCTGATTAGCAGCTGGATTGCTTCCCGAATGTAAACAGTGTCATTTTTAAAATTGCAAAGAATCTGATCATGCCGATCTTGGTGTGATGATGAGGTCAGAAGAGAAGTCTAGGATCTAATAGGCCCCCAATCTCACTATAAAGAGTACATGTCACTGCCTATTGCTGTAACAAGGGATGTTTACATTCCTTGTGACGGCAATACAAGTGCTAAAAAAAAATTAAATAAAAAAAAAAAAAATATGTGACGTGCCCCCCGTCCCCCCCCCATGCTTGTGTACAAAGGCAAACACATGTGTCAGTCCCAGATGCATACGTAAATGGTGATGGCACCACACGTGAGGTATTGCCATGAGCATCAGAGCTAGAGCAATCATTCTAGCACCAGACTGCCTCTGTAACTCTAAGTTGGTAACCTGTAAAGACCTATAAAGCATCGCCTATGGAAATTTTTAAATACCGTAGTTTGACATCATTCTAAAAGTGTGTGCAATTTTAAAATGTGACATGTTTGGTATCTATTTATCTAGTTAATTGGCGTAACATCATCTTTTATATGTTGCAAAAAATTGGGTATTGTGTTCGTGTTCAAGTAAATTCATGAAAGTGTATTTTTTTCCCCCCAGAAATTTGAGAAACCACTGCGCAAATACCGTGTAACATAAAAACATAAAAAAAAGCTCACCATTTTATTCTGTAGAGCCTTTGCTAAAATACAGTAAATCCTCTACTTACGAACATTCAAGTTGCAAACTTTCAAAGATACGAACAACCTCCAAGTTTTGAACTTTCAAAGATGCGAACATGCATTTACATGTCAAATCATGAAAGTAGCACACGTGTCTGCCGGACAATGTCAGCTGCTTGCACCCTCTGCCACATGCGGTTGTTCTGCTGTGTACGTTACTGTATAGTACAATTGTGTATAGTAGTAGTGTTGATTTCAAGCCTAGGATGTCTGGAAGCAAGCATAAAAGCAGTGGTCTTGTGTGGTCACTCCATGCCAGCCCCTGTATGTCAGCTGTTACTGTACTACTCTAACTTTCAAGGTACTGTAAGATTAAACATCTTTTCTTTACAGTGTTTCTTGTGTTTGTTTTTTATGCATTATTTGTGTGAAAAGTATTATAAACCGTACTTTGTTGGACTTACAAACAAATTGGACTTACGAACAAACTCCCAGAAAGAACTTGTTCGTAAGTAGGGGACTTGTATATAAAAGGGGACTGTATATATAATATATATATATATATATATATATAATATTTGGGAGCTCCAAGTAATTTTAGAGCAAAAAAAATACTTTGGTTAGCCAAATCTCTCACTAGGTGCTTTTACCTCTCAGAATTGTAGTATTCAGAATGTGATATTCACATGCTGATTACTTATTTCCTCCCTCTGTAGCCAGTACAGAGCAGAAACACAGTGTGGGTGACTCCTGCTGCTTCGTTTTTAATGATCTTAGTGGTTGGCAAATTTAGAGCAAATGGAGGTGTCGGCAGTGCTGAACATGGGCAGAGCCTGGAATTCATCTTCATGGTAAAACATATGAAAAAAAAGCAAAAATGCAGTGCAGAAAAATATTAATGCTGGCTAAACTTTTGGAAATTTCATGGAAGCTTTCCATCTTCAGCCTTTCACACGCAGTCTTGGTCGTATTCTGGTTTTGAGTAGTCAGAGTGAAAAGTGAAAGTTGGTCAAGAGAGCTGATCAACTGCCAATTCTGTGGTTTTGATCAACTTCTATTGCAGTTTTGTTTTGGCGGTTTAAGCTGAAATATTATTGATATGTTAGCTGGCAGATTTCTGAAGATCTTTGAAACTCATAGCCATCATTGCTCTTATTAAAAGCAAAATTGTCCAATGTATTGCCAGCATGGCCAACCAGAACTTTTTATAAAATGCTTGCTTTGTCTAATGTTAAAAGCAAAAAAAGTAACAATACAGTCTTTAGGACTCATGTACACTGCAGCTCAAAAAAGATATTCTAGAGCTGTTTGAGCTTTTTTTTCCTCTGCCTGTAAACTACCCTGCCACTAAACTTCTGGAAATGCCTATAGTGTGCATGTATGCAGCAGTGTTTGCTGACATCCATAGCTGCTTAGTACATTCTTCTTATTTTGAACAAGGACAGGAATATGGGACCTACCATTTATGTTCCATGTTTTAAAGTGCAGGCTTCAGAGGTATCATCCAGATCCTATCTCTTCTAGTTACTGACCTAGAACAGCCAGTGAGTCTGAAAAGCCTAAATTTCCATCCTCGATGCTTGATGCACAGCCAGGCAACATACATTGCTCACAGACTTGTATCCAGGAGACCGTAACCAGTCCTTGAGCTTGTTTTTTTATTTTATTAAGGGGTAAATAACTTGGATGGGGCAAGGGGTGTATGGGATGCCCAAGGGAACTGCAACTGAGGACATCTTCCTGGAACTATGGGGACAAAAATTCTCTTCTTGGAGAGCTGGCCAGCCTCTCCTGGTATACCACCCCAGACTCTGGACGATCCACCTCCATCCAGCTGTCTGAAGGAATCACTAAGTAGGGGATCCAGTACCTTCCACTGCAGTGTAACAGTCCCGGGTAAGTACGCTAATCCAGTTTCTCACTAGAGTGCCTCTTTCCCCTTAACTGACCCAGGGGGTGTTGCTTTACTCACTCAGTCCTCTGCCTATGAGCTGGTGGGTCAGAGGCAGGCCTTCAATTGGGCCGCTTCTTCCCTGCTTCACAGGTGGTCCTCGCTCTGGTGGTCAGTGAGGTCCTGAGCTTTCCTCCCTTTCCAGTGCCACTGCTTAGATGTGAGCCCCTTCCCAACTGAGCCTCTATGTTCCACTCGAACTCTCCTGCTGCTGAACAGGCTCCACCACATTTAAAGGATGCCCTGGCCCCAAGCTTCCTGCTTGGGGATTGGCCATATATGCAGGCCAGCCCCTGCTCACCTCCACCCACTGCTTCGGGAATCTTCTTCAAGATTCCAGAGCAGGGGAAGGTTGCAAGAAACTGACCTGCAGAGCCTCTCAGCCCTGACCTGAAATAACCCCTTCTTCCAGCCTTTATAGCTGAAAACCTATTCTAGCTCCCCCTAGCTATCTAGGAGGGTGGTACACCAGGATCGGATGACAGCTATGGGACTTGTTCCTTTAAACTGAAGCGATTCAACTCTAAAGTGGGGCGAAAACATTGTCCTATTTTCCAAGAAGGTTCTGGAACGACAAAGGCAAACGTTCTTTCTTATGTACGATTTCTATGTTTGTTACGTCTGATCATGTCATTTTTTTCTATTTGATTATTTCCATAGAACTACTGTACACATAGCGAAAATCAGACGTTGTGTTCACATACGATTAAGAATTTTCTAGATTGCGCCTTTGTTTTTTTTTCTCTGAACAGTTGGAATAGGCTGTTGAAAGCACTATACTAAGGAACAGATAATCGACCGGTTGTTCCTTGTACAGAATTTTTCTTCCAATTTTTATATAGTGGTTAGAAATTATCTCCTTAAGGGATGGTGGAATGAAAAACAGTTAATTACCAATTACTTTAATATTTTTCACAGATTTATTGCTGAAAAAACTTCTAAGACAGAGGATTAGGAATGCAGGATACCCAAAAAATAAAAAAGCTCAGGTTTTTAGCAAGGTTAGTTGGTGTAGGCCCTTTAGGAGCAGCATAGTTAATTCCAATGACCGTATGATAAAAATCATGGTTCTTTCCATATGTTTTAATAAGTAGAGAATGAACCCTCTTGAAGGTTTGCTCCATTTATCATCCTCAGTGATTGGCTGGGATGGATAAATACTTATAACTCAGATTTTATTACTTCTCACACAAACTAATGCCCAAGCTTAGGAAAAGCTTACTGAGCGCAGAAAATATAAACAAAAAGCTCAAGCTGGCTACAGTCTTGCTGTAAAACAACATAGAAAACTAACTAGGGACACTCTCTTTAAAGGAAGGATCCCTACAAATAACATTAGTGTCATCAAAGGTCCCAGTTTACGCAGTGGGGACAGTAGCGGGCTGTTTGTGAAAAGTAAGTAAGGACTGATTGGGTTGAATAAGTCCAAAGCATGGAGTTGGCCAACGGTACAGATCTTGTTTTGTCTTTCTTCTTGTAGGCAAAATACATTGATCTTTGTCAGTAAATGCAATGTGTTTTTTTTTTTTTTCCAGAGTGACCGACTTTTTATTAAAGGTGGGAGAATTATTAATGATGACCAGTCCTTTTACGCAGATGTTTACCTCGAAGATGGCCTTATTAAGTAAGTGAATGAACAAATGTCAGCAGAAGGAATTCTGTTTATTGATAATACTGCAATAATCCAATGTGGAATTTCACGCACCCTTTGTCTTAATATATCTAAAGCCAAAACCTTTTTTTTTTCACATTATGGATAGAGTATAGGAAATGGGGAAAACCAACAAGGGTATTGGAATGCAAAGCAACAGGCAGTTCACACTGTTGTGCTGTGTTAGTGAATGCACAGCTTAGTGTACTATTTTGGCGTATCCCAGGAGGAATGGACTTCTGCATGTTGACCTCCAAGTCAAGGTGAAATAAGAACCAAAACCCACAAAAAACCAAGATGTCAGCAACAATGACGGATATTAAAGGATCAACAAACATGGTATACTTACCTGCTCTGTGCAATAGTTTTTCACAGAGCAGCCCCGATCTTCCTCTTCTCAGGTCCCCTGCCAGTCCCTTCCCTCCTGCTTAGTGCTTCTATAGCAAGTAGCTTGCTATGGGGGCACCCAAGCTGCTGCTCTGTGTGTCCATTATCACACGGAGTGTGGCTTGGCCCAGCCCCTGCTCTCTCCTTATTGGCTCACTGGCTGTGATTGACAGTAGCGGTAGCCAATGGCTGGGGGCAGGGGGTGATGCTGCATACAGAATGTTTTTTACCTTCATGCATAGAAAGCATGAAGGTAAAATACCTTGAACCTTTACAACCACTTTACTGTGAGTATCAAAAGTTTTTTCCCACCAGTGCCCCCAGCAGTGCCATCCACCAGTGCCCCCCAGCAGTGCCTCTCATCAGTGCCCAGCAGTGCCACCCACCAGTGCCCCCCAGCAGTGCCTCCCATCAGTGCCACCCATCAGTGCCGACCATCAGTGCCACCAGTCAGGGCTGTCAGCGCCGCCCGTCAGTGCCACCCATCAGTGCCGCCTATCAGTGCCCATCAGTGCTGCCTATCAGTGCAGCATCATCAGTGCCTCCTCATCAATGCCCACCAGTCCCGCCTCATCAGTACCACCTCATCAGTGCAACCTATCAGTGCTGCCTATCCATGCCACCTCATCAGTGCCCATCATTGCTACCTATCAGTGCCGCCTCATCAACACACATCAGTGAAGGAGAAAAATTACCTGTTTGGAAAATTTTATACTAGAAACAAAGAAAACCTTTTTTTTTTTCTTGCTCCTTTTTTGGATTATAGCGGCAATTAAATACCACCAAAAGAAAGCTCTATTTGTGTGTGAAAATGATTAAAATTTCATATGGGTACATGTGTTGCATGACCACGCAATTGTCATTCAAAGTGCGACAGCACTGAAAGCTGAAAATTCGCCCGGGCTAATGGGGGTAAAGGTGCCTGTAGGCAAGTCGTTAAGGAGTGGGCGGCCTCTGTTGACCTTAACAACCAGTAAACAACATGGTTGTTAAGGAGCAGGCACCCGCCAAATCCTTAACAAGAAATGATTAATCAGCTGTCAGCGAGGTTCCCCACGGACAGCTTAATATAAATAAAAAAAAACGGAAAAAACCAGCGTGAGGTCCCTTCCCAATCCTTACCAGGACCTTTGGGTTTAGTAGGGATTTTATGGGGAACCCCACACCAAAATTAAAAAAAAGGTGTGGGGTCCCCCCCAAAATCCATGCTAGGAAAAAAAAAATCAGCACATGGGACAGTGCACACAGTAATTATGAAGTGTCCCTTGTGCTGCTGTCTAGTATTCGATGATACCGATTCTTTGCGGTGTGATTTGCGTTGATGGATGCAAATTGCACTGCAAAGAATAGCATGTGATTTGAAAAGGAATCTGATTCCTGTCCAAAGCGCATGCAGTTTCCCCTCTGCTCTTGTGTGAACCCAGGCTTGCCATAGCCCGAGTTCACACAGGAGCTGTGTGGGAAACATGCTGAGTCACATGGACGGTGCTGACCAATCAGATGCCGCCTAGCCCGGACTGTCATCGCTGCAAGGAGAGGAAAGAAAGCAGCAGGGATTTCAAATCTTGTCTTCTTTCTCTCCTTCCTCACCACTGAGACTCAGAATTGGATGCCTGCAGGGAGGTTTCCTGCACCACTCATGTGTGAACTCGGGCTATAACAAGCCTGGATTCACACAGGAGCAGTGGGGAAACTGCATGCGATTTGGACATTAATCGCATGCTAATCATTGTGGTGCAATTTGTGTCCATTAACGCAAATCACACTGCAAAGTATTGGTTAAGGTATTGGGAGTATTTTCACAAGATCGAGTACTTTATTTAATTGAATTAATTTAAGTACTTTATTTAATGAAAATATCGGCAGCAATCCTGGTATCGGTCCATCCCTACTTTTCACTGATGGAAGCTATAGAATGGAGGAGGGGGCAGAAAGGGCCGGCATGAAGAGTGCCTTTGACAGGTCCAATGCTTGTATTAACCCCTACAGCACCGGGGATTATGGTTGCAGCGGGTAGGAGTGATTCAGAGGAAAAGGAACACTTCTCAGTCGCTGTAAGCACTGTCCCTTGTGCTGATTTACAAAAGAAAAAGTTTTGACTTGAAGGAAACCATATAGGAGAGGAATAATAGAGCTGTCATTGCTGACTGGTTTTTGAAGGTGTAAGCTCTGGGGCCATTATGCTTATTCTTCCTTAATTAGTCTATTCATAGAGTTCTGATAACTTTATGCTCAATTATTATTTTACTACAAGGCACTCATGATAGTTGGTATCTTTTGTGTTTTTTCTTACCAGACAAATTGGGGAAAACCTAATTGTTCCAGGAGGAGTGAAAACAATTGAAGCCAATGGACGGATGGTCATTCCTGGTGGCATTGATGTCAACACGTATCTCCAGAAGCCCTACTTGGGCATGGCAACATTAGATGACTTTTACCAAAGCACTAAGGCAGCTGTAGCTGGAGGAACTACCATGATCAGTGAGTAGATGTAATACTTATAACCAAATTAAAAAAGAAAAAAGCGCCACTTACAAAAAACACCAAAGTGTCAGCAGCATATCCCACCCAAAATAAATTTTGGCAACAATAACAAAATTAAAAGGTATGCGCTAATAACAAACTTATACAAAAGTGTATGTCATCATCCAAAAAACATTAGTGTTTTAAATAAATTATAGTGTCCAAACATAAATTAGTGTCCAAAAAAATATATATATATCTTCAGTGACTTGAACCAATTGTGAGAAATCCACCACCAAAGGAGATTAAATAAACTCACCAGAGCTAATGGCTGGTCAGATTATAAACCAGCAACAGCGCTTGTGCTCTGGGAGCAATGAACCCGATGTCCAAATAGATATGGTGATGTTTCAGACACTTCCAGGATAATAATAATCACAGCCAAACAACTTTGCAGCCCAAGCTCTTATGATGAACTTCTCCACTCTTTCTCATACCTCCATGAGAGCATGCAGTACACTCAGGGACAAAAAAGAGAACATAATGGTGAAATACGTTTTTTTTTTTCATTTATCTCTTTAATAAAAAAGGTATAAGGAAACTCACAAACAAGGTGTCCAACAGACACCAGCTGCTTCAATCGCAAAAAAGGGTTGAGATACAGTTAACGCTCACCACAGATCTCTCCCATACAGCACAGACCAGCAAGGCTCTCTAACGTCCACATCAAGTAGGCTACGCCCGCTGTTGCTGGTTTATAATCTGACCAGCCATTAGCTCTGGTGAGTTTATTTAATCTCCTTTGGTGGTGGATTTCTCACAACTGGTTCAAGTCACTGAAGATATATATATATATTTTTTTTGGACACTATAATTTATTTAAAACACTAATGTTTTTTGGATGATGACATACACTTTTGTATAAGTTTGTTATTAGCGCATACCTTTTAATTTTGTTTGTAATACTTATTACCATGCATTCAGTTTTTTCAGAGTCAACCTCTCTCAATAAAGCTCATTTAGGAAAACCACCTACCTGCTCAGTGGCTCCAATTTTTGGTTAATAAAGTTATTTAAACCTGAACTTTGGGAATAATACTAAATCTAAGTCCCTTCCCCCACACTTAAACAATCATTTAGTCTACAAGTGCAGGGGTGTGGTGTATTGTTCCTCACTCCTGGCTCTGGCAGGCTCCCTCCATCTGTGTGACCAGTCCGGTGCTGCTGCCCCTATTAGGCTCTTCGGACCCTTAGTCACATGCTTGCTTCCTCCAAATACAGTGCAGGGTAATAGCCTTGCACTATAAATGATGAGGCCAGAGGACTCCCTACTTCCTGGAGCTTCAAGAGAACAGAACTGTAACCTGCCAGACTGAGGGATAGATACATAATACAGCTTGTCCCTTCAGCTCTAGACTAAATGAGCATTCAGCCCATTCAGTGCAGAGGCGGGCCCACTGTAAGGGTAGATTTTGTCTATTTCCCGGAGTTCAGTTTTAAGGTACACATGTACACTATAGTGACAGAATATTTGTTCAGTGCTCTAGTGGATCAAATATTTTAGCATAGTGCAACATGGGACACATTGGCAGCTATTGTACTGTTGCACCCAAGAGATAGAAGGCAGCGACACAGTGTGCCTAGGTTCTCCTCACAGAAGGTCCTAGACGGGGCATTAGGTTTCCTGTCCCATACAGTAAAGTTCCATTTACGAGGATACCCTTTGTACTTCTCTGGCTTTTTTTCTGTTGTATCAGTGGATAGCTTTGAGCGGGGTACAGCCTATGTCTGGTTTCTGCACTTGATGAGCAAACCGGATGACCCAGCATACAGGGCTTGGTAGAAGGTGATAATGTTTTATTACTGTACTTGGGCTTTGGGGTGCCATTCTAAATAAAAAGTGTTGTCACTGTTTAAAGTGATTTTAAAGGTTTAATTTTTAAGGAAAAAATTACAAACATACCTATACTTACCTGCTGTGTGCAGTGGTTTTGCACAGAGCAGCCCGGATCCTCCTCTACTTGGGTCCCCCGCCGGTGCTCCTGGCCGCTCCCTTCTGTCGGGTGCCCCCACAGCAAGCAGCTTGCTTTGGGGAACCCGCTGCTCCATGTGTCCATTTACATACGGAGCAGGGGCTCAGCCCCGCCCCCTCTCTCACTTCTAATTGGCTACCTGGCTGTGATTGACAGCAGTGGGAGCCAATGGCTCACGCTTCTGTCTCAGCTAATGAGAAGAGGGAGTCCTGGGATAGCCAAGACTCCAGTATACATCGCGGGATCAAAAGGGGGCTTAGGTGAGTATTAGGGGGGCTGGGGAGGCTGCTGCACAGAAGAAGTTGAGCCATTAGGACCACTTTAAGCAAGTAAGGGGAAATCTTTTCAATATACTTTTATTTCCCAAAAAATGTTTTGGTTGAAGATTTTGCAGTTTTAGTAAATCAACCCTTAAGGGTTAGGATTTCAGCCTTTTGGGGACTTTTCCCTTCACTTCCTGTCCAGGTGACAGCAGGAAAAAATTTATGGGACACGGAAGAAAGCCAACAGAGGTTCTAACTTTTGTTTTTTGTTGCTGGTTCTGTCACCATTGGAGAGATTTACTATCACTTCTTGTGTCAGGATAAGAACTGTGGGAAAAATTCTCCAAGGGTGACACAGTACAGTGGGTATAGAAAAGAATCACCCCCCCCTTTAAAATAATCACATGTTGTTGCTTTGCAGCATGAAATGAAGAAAGACAGTTTTTTTTTTTTCCAGCTGTATTTTCTCAGTGCAACTTATGACTTCCAAGTGAAAGATATAATACCAGCATGTCAAAAAAAAATTCAAAAAGAGAATCACTGACTTGGAAAAAGGATCACCCACTCCTAAAAATGACTAAGCTAATCACCTCAATGGCACACAAAGCCATTAGACTTTCAAGTGTGATCAGCTGTGGTAATTTTGATTAGCTCAGTGAGAAAAGAGCTTTCGTGGAGCATTTCAGTTATTGGTAATGCAGCTGAAGCAAACAATCAACTATGGGTAGAAAGACACCGACAAAAGATCTCCGGGATAAAGTTGTGGACAGGCACAAGTCAGGATACAAAAAAATTTGAAGGCTATATTAATGACTAGAAGCACAGTGAAGTTTAATATTAAGAAATGGTATTTGGTACAACACAGACCCTTCCTGGATCAGGACATCGCTCCAAACTGGATGAAAGAGCCAGTTGAAAACTGATCAGAGAGGCTACCAAGAGGCCTACAGCAACTCTGAAGTTGCAGGAATTGATGACAAAGAGCGGTCATTGTGTGCATGTGACAACAATATCACAAATTCTTCACAAATGTGACTTGTATGGGAGAGCTGCAGGAAAAAAAGTCACTCCTCAAGAAAGGCCACATGCAGTCATGACTGAGCTTTGCCAAAATACACCTTGAAGATTTTGAAGCCACATGAAAAAATGTGTTCTGGTCAGATGAGACTAAAATTGAATTATCTGGCCTCAATACTAAACAATATGTCTTGTGGAAATCCAGTACAGTTCAGCATCCAAATAATACCATTCCTAACACCAGCGAAGCATGGAGGTGGTAATATCTTGTTATGGGGGTGTTTCTCTGCAGCATGGCTGAGCACTTGTCAGGATAGAAGGAAAAATGGATGGGGCAAAATACTGTTACATTTTTTAGGAAAATTTGCTGCCTTCTGCCAGAAAGTTGTCACAGGGAAGAAGGTTTATCTTCCAACATGACAATGACACAAAGCACACTGCAAAAATGACCACACAGTGGTTGAAGGAGAAAAGGGTGAATGTCCTTGCATGGCCTAGCCAGAGCCCAGACTTAAACCTCAGTGAAAATCTGTGGAATGACTTGAAGACTGCAGGCCACAAATGATCACCATCAAAACTGAACTCGAGCAGTTCTACAAAGAAGAGTGGGCAAATATTGCAAAATCTAGATGTGCAACGTTAGTAGAGACATCAATAGACTGAAGGCTGTAATTAAAGCAAATGGTGGTTCAACAAAATACTGACACAAGGGGTGATCCTTTTTCCAATTCAGTGATTCTGTTTTTGCATGTTTAAGTTTTTTGTTTTCTAACATATTGGTGTTATATCTTTCATAGTTACATAGTTAGTCTGGCTGAAAAAAGCAAAAAGTCCATCCAATTCAACCATTAAAAAAAAAAAAAAGTTATAATCCTACACCCACAGTTGATCCAGAGGAAGGCAAAAAAAAACCCAGCAAAACATGATCCAATCTGTTCCTGCAGGGGAAAAACTCCTGCCTGATCCCCCGAGAGGCAATCAGATATTCCCTGGATCAACTTTACCTATAAATAGTAACCAGTTATATTCTGTGTATCCAAGAAAGAAACCAGGCTTTTTTGAAGCAATCCATTGAGCTGGCCAGAACCAACTCTTGAAGGAGTATATTCCACATTTTCACAGCTCTCACTGTGAAGAAACCTTTCCGTGTTTGGAGATTAAATTTATTTTCCTCCAGATGTAAAGAGTGCCCCCTTGTCCTCTGAGATGACCTCAAGGTGAATAGCGCTACACTATAACTCTTCACTATATGAACCACTGATGTATTTATATATGTTGATCATATCCCCCCTTAATCTCCTCTTCGCAAGAGAGAATACATTCAGTTCCTCTAAATCTTTTCTTATAGCTGAGCTCCTCCATGCCTCTTATCAGTTTGGTTGCCCTTCTCTGTACTTTCTCCAGTTCCCCAATGTTCTTTTTGTGAATTGGTGCCCAAAACTGAACTGCATATTCAAGATGAGGTCTTACTAATGATTTGTACCGGGGTAATATGATATCTCTCTCTCTGGAGTCTATACCTCTTTTAATACAAGAGAGGATTTTGCTCGCTTTAGAAACCGCAGCTTGGCCATTGCATGCCATTATTAAGCTTGTGATCTACCAGAACCCCCAGATCCTTCCCCACCATTGATTCCTCCTGTTGTACCCCCCCCCCTAGTATGTATGATGCATGCATATTCTTAGCCCCCAAAAGCATAACCTTACATTTATCAACATTAAACCTCATTAGCCACATAGTTGCCCAATTAAACAGTGCATTGAGGTCGGCTTGTAAATTGGAGACATCCTGTAAGGACGTTATTCCACTGCGCAGCTTGGTGTCATCTGCAAAGACTGAAATGGGATTTTTAATCCCAGACCTATATTGTTTATAAATATATTAAACAGTAAGGGTCCCAACACTGAACCTTGGGGTACTCCACCGACAATCGTAGACCATTCAGAAAATGAATCATTAACCATTACTCTCTGAATACAACCTTTTAACCAGTTTTCTATCCATTTACAGTTGTGTTCAAAATAATAGCAGTGTGTTGAAAAAAGTGAATAAAGCTCAAAATCCTTCTAATAGCTTTTATTTCCATACACACAAATGCATTGGGAACACTACACATTCTATTCCAAATCAAAACATGAAGAAAAATATATCAAATTTGTGTTCCTCTAAACAAATTGAAGAAAAGTGAATATTAGACTGTTCAAAAAAATAGCAGTGTTTGTATTCTTCTTTACAAACTCAAACATTCACTATATAAACTGAAAAACGTTTGAAGATTTTGCTTTCCTTTGAATCACTTAATGAATATTTAGTTGTATAAGCACTGTTTCTGAGAACTGCTGTACATCTGTGTTGCATGGAGTCAACCAACTTCTGGCACCTGTGAACAGGTATTCCAGCCCAGGATGATTGGACTACATTCCACAGTTCTTCTCTATTTCTTGGTTTTGCCTCAGAAACTGCATTTTTGATGTCACCCCCACAAGTTTTCTATTGGATTAAGATCCGGGGATTGGGCTGGCCACTCCATAACGTCAATCTTGTTGGTCTGGAACCAAGATGTTGCACGTTTACTGGTGTGTTTGGAGTCGTTGTCTTGTTGGAACACCCATTTCAAGGGCATTTCCTCTTCAGCATAAGGCAGCATGACCTCTTCAAGTATTCTGATGTATTCAAACTGATCCATGATCCCTGGTATGTGATAAATAGGCCCAACACCGTAGTATGAGAAACATCCCCATATCATGATGCTTGCACCACCATGCTTCACTGTCTTCACAGTGTACTGTGGCTTGAATTCAGTGTTTGGGGGTCGTCTGACAAACTGTCTCCGGCCACTAGACCCAAAAAGAACAATCTTACTTTCATCAGTCCACAAAATGTTGCACCATTTCTCTTTAGGCTAGTCAATGTGCTCTTTGGCAAATTGTAACTTCTTCAGCACGTCTTTTTTTCAACAGTGGGACTTTGCGGGGGCTTCTTGCAGATAGCTTGGCTTCACATAGGCATTTTCTAATTGTAACAATACTCACAGGTAACTTTAGACCTTCTTTGATCTTCCTGGAGCTGATTGTTGGCTGAGTCCTTGCCATTTTGGCTATTCTTCTATCCATTTGAATGGTAATTTTTTGCTTTCTTCCACATCTTTCAGGTTTTGGTTGCCATTTTAAAGCATTTGCGATCATTTTAGCTGAGCAGAAAAAATATATATATAATGGCGGCTATGGAAAAGGAAAAAGAATATCTATATATATATATATCTATAAATCACTTATTATAATATACCAGCTGCAAAAAAACCACCAAAATCAATAAGGTGTAATAAATAACTCAAAAAAAAAATGGGCGGAGTTTGATCGATGTGACGTCATTACGTTTCCAATGAGCTACTGCGCATGTGCCGAGTAGCTGGGTCTGTTTTGCTGTGATTGCTGTTAATGCTGGTGTCGGCTGGGACACCCTTTGAGTTAAGTACAATGAGTACTGAATAAAGATGTTGTTTTAATAATACTGCACCATGAAGCTCTTCTGTTTCTTCCGAGTGTCTGGCATTTCCCTCTTTGGATACGTTTGAAGGTGGCTTTCTTAAGAAGTGGATTTCCTTGATGATAAATAATTTGAAAGTAACTTGCTCCATCTGAAATTGGTCTATGTGGATCTGGTCTCTGCAGAATACTATTCCTTGAAGATGCCTCTATGAATGACTTATCGTTAATACTACTGTTCCCAGAGCAATATATGGTTTAAATATTATATTATATATTTGTAGCTCTGGTGAGTTTATTTTTGGTGGTGGCATTGTCACTTTATATATATATTTTTTGCTAGTTTTTTGTGTTTTTTAAGGTGTGGACATTTTTTCACATATATATTTTTTTGCACCATTTATATGTTTGATTTATTGAGATAATTTTATATCTACTAGCGCAAAATAATTTTTTTTTTTTAGTTTTTTTTTTTTTAGTTATTTTAGCTGAGCAGCCTATCATTTCTGCACTTCTTTATATGTTTTCCCCTCTCCAATCAACATTTTAATCAAGGTACGCTGTTCTTCTGAGCAATGTCTGGAATTTTCCTCAGAATTTCAGAGAGAAATGCACTGTAACCAGCATGTACAACATTTGCTGCCTTCCTTCCTTAAATAAGGGCATTAATTGCCACCTGTTTTTCAAAGAATGAATGACCTCACTAATAGAACTCCACACTGCTATTATTTTGAACATGCCCCTTTCAATTAGTGATTCAATTACACAGAATCAGCAGCATGCATGTCATGACTGTTGGGTCTGTTGGATTTTATTACTCTACTACACCTGCTAGTAAATTATTTGCCATGTAGAAATATCATTTCTACCAAAACCAGTGATTGATCAGGTTAGTGATGTCTGACTGCTATTATTTTGAACACAACTGTACATTTTTCCAATCCTGTAGACCTTACATTACACATTAGCCGTGTGTGGGGAACTGTGTCAAACGCTTGGATGTTATACGTTACATTGTAAATACAGTTGGATAAAACAAAAACTGTGTCTGTCTACGTTTCAGGCTGCAAAGCAACAAAATGGGATTATTTTAAAGGGGGGTGATTCTTTTCTATACACACTGTAATAATAGGTAATCACAAAATTGATGTTTTTTGCTGAGCTTCAGTTTTCAGTCTTATCTAGAAAGGATCCTTACTTATGTACCATTAACCCAGATTAACTTAGATCATACAAACTATTAGTTGGTAATTTATGTTTATTCCTTCCCAGTTGACCACGTTGTTCCTGATCCTGGATCAAATATATTGACATCATTTGAAAAGTGGCACGAGGTGGCTGATACAAAGTCCTGCTGTGACTATTCCCTCCATGTAGACATTACCTGTTGGTATGATGGCATCCGGGAGGAGCTAGACATTCTTATGCAAGATAAAGGTAATACCTATATATTGATCAGATTCTTAAGCTATCATTGGGATCCCTTTTCTAATCCTCTGTTGTTTACTGTTCAAGAATAATGTTTGCAAAAAGGCAAATCAAGAAACTGAGAGAAGGGATAGCACTGGTAGAGACCATCACCCTCCTGCTTTTTCTTCCCCTCCATTGACAAAACATGTACGGTTGGTCAAACTGAGCATTCGTGATTAGGCAGCATTCTTTGCAGAGAGTTTACCCCAAAAGTGGTTGGATCACACCTATACATTTGGGGTCAGTCACATCTTCTGGGTCTGTGGCTGACCGAAGCATGGTAAAAAAAACAAAGTCTCAGTACATCATAGTGCTGGAACTTGAATCAGGGAATGGCTGGATACTTTAGTCCTGTTAGCTAAAGGTTGAATTGTGTGACCCATGGTGGCACAACACCAACAGTATGTTTACAATAAGGAATTAAGGGCAATATCACAGTTAATAGATACCAGTTCACCAACATTAAGCTTCTTTAAATTTCTCAGAATTCACAATACACTGCAGGTGTATAAACTGTTGTTCTTTGCTCCCGGAGGCAGATAATACCTTCTTTCCTGTGTAATGCAACATGTAAAGTGGTGTTTCAACTGTTTGCGTTTCCCACATCACATACATTTAGCAATTAAAGCAGAATAGCCAATTAAAAGATAAAATAAATGTTTGCAACATTCAGCTTCAATTTAGAGAATTCCCCCACAGTATTTTTTTGCTGCCACTAGATGTCTTCAGTCTGATGGCCGTCATCATTAAACTCATTTCTTCTAAGCCCTGGTCATCCTGGACAACCTGCGCCTGTGATTGGACAGTAAAGGGAGAAGCAGAATAATGGTGAGCTTATCTCTCTGTTACTCTGCTCTTGTTTTCTGATTCTGATTCCTTTCAGTATACTTCCTGTGGACATGTTAACTGATTGGCTCCTTGTGTTTTTTCATGCACCTTACGACTTTACACTTACAATACCACCTCTTGCATAGGTAACATATGACATTTCAGTAATTTGTTGAAAAAAAAGCCTCTCTCTATTACCGCTATTACCATTGTTAGCCAGAAAATGTTTAACCTTTCTCTGATTTGCTTTCACTTTGTTACTAGCGCCTGGCTTTTCCACTAAGCCCTGCCCAACTGTTATCCTACTGTCCAATGAGACTGACTCAGTAGCCAGTGACAGCACAGTCATTCGACAGTAGAATGGCAGCTGATGGATATTTGCTAATAAGGCATGAAAAGTCTGGTCTGGATGGTTTCGTTCTTGTGTCTGTTTGTAAAGCAGCAATGTATAGCTAAAGCTTGGTTTGGAAGACCAGACACTTTCATACATGAGACTGGTGGAAGCCACTCTAGTACTGTCTAAGCATGGGCACTGTTCAACAATAAAGGGAACCTTTATCATCTCTGGGCTGGCCTCATGTGTCATGAAGTGGTCTGGTGGAAAATGACCATCTGGGCCTCACTATCAGTCTCCCCCAGTTACAGGAGTAGTCCATCACATCGTCTAGGCCTGGGGACTGCTGAGGTACAAATCCAGTCTTGGCAGGCGATTGGCATCCACAGGTTACAATACTTTCTATTGTCATAAATGTACTAAATAATGTAACTAGGATTTGTGTTTATCCTAACAATGTTTTCTCTTCTCCTTGGAATAGGTGTGAACTCTTTCCAAGTGTACATGGCCTACAAAGATATATACCAAATGTCAGACAGCCAGGTATTTCAATCAACGTTTTATGTTTATCTGTGAGATTTTATTTGACTGATTTTATTAGATTACTGTAGTAGCTTATACACCTTTAGCTTTCTGCTTATAATGAAAGCTGTAGACTGAACTGCAATGCAATGTGTTTCCTTCCGGAATACAGCTACATAGTAGGATTCATTCATAGGAAGTCCTAAAAATAAGAACTTGAATGTGTATGGTGGAGCGCCTGGTACAAGCATTCATCTCACTTAATAGACTTTTTTAAAACATTTAATGGTTAAGAGCATCAGATACAGCCAATGCACACAGGACACAGAATGCACACAGGGATCTGTGAAAAGACTTGATGAACATTAATGTTTCCTGAGGACAGCCAGCAGAAGTCCTTCAAGTGAGATGAACGTTTGCACCAGGCACTCCTCTATACACATTCAAGAAACTACCATCTGGCAAGCATTTTCCTTTTATTGCTGTCAGAGAGGTAGCAGCCTATGACCACAACAGGGTCCACCCCTACTAGACTTCAATCACGGATTTACTCGTTTGAAGGAAAATCACTTTACAGTAGAAATATGTAAAACTTTTATTGGTTCAGTAATATCACACACACATCAGACTTAAAAATAAGAACTGTTTGTGTTGCTAATATGATGTGTTATCTTTACTGAAGATACGTTTGGGCTGCAGGTAGAATAGGTGGAAGTAGGATTTTTCTTCAGAAAAGGTAACTCATTTTATTGGCAATTTTTCAAGGGCCATGGGGATAAATAAAATCAATCATTCTTAGTGAAAGTGCACTTTTACTTTGTCTCCTGATGACACCTACCAAAGTAGGTGTCCTTTGCTTGCATCTCAACAAGGACACTGCATGGAGTTTGTGTACAAATAAAACTTCAGCGCAACAAATAACTCCTCAAATTCCTGTGTATACCAGTGCTGCTGACACTTACATGTGTTTCCACACACAAAAGATATGTCATAAAATAGTGCCACGCATATATCTCTATAACCTCATATATGAATTAAAGCATCCAAACCATGTGATTATGCAACAATGGTGAATACACTGAATACAACTTAAAAGTCCATAATGTGTGCTTAATCCATGCCTTTATAATGCCTTCACAAAACAGGAGCTCTTTATTGGTTATATCCACATATATTCCTATAGGTGCTCCCTCTACTAGAGACATACATATATACTCTCACCTTCTTTTATGACCCAAATTGCATATGTCAAATACCGCCTTTCCTTTTTACCGGGGTAGGTATACTGCATAGATGACTCCACTTTCCTCCTCACTCTGCTGCAAACGGTCCCGTCTCCTCTTTATCCCACAAATCCTCCGCATATGTAAACAGAAACGCTTGCCATAGTGTAATATATAAATATAGCGTGATTTAATAAAAAACAAAGTGCACTTATATTTAAAAGTGTTCTGCTGGGACACCACAGTAAAAAACCTTGTTATAATGTATTTTCAATGTGTTCAGGAATTTCCAAGATGGCGGCTCGTAAACTTCCTGTTTAGAAGCTTGACGTCATTGGCCCACTCTACGTGTTACATCACATCATGTGACTTCCTCAGGAGGTTATAGAGATATATGCGTGACACTATTTTGTGAACCTGCATGGAGTTTGCACATTCTCTGTCTGCTTGCAGGGTTTGCTGTGGGTACTCTGGTTTGTTCACATGCTTTAAAGACATGCTGGTAGGGAAATTGGCCCTAGTAAATGTGAGATCGGGGCCTTAGATTGGATGCTACTTGAGGACAGGGATTGATATGAATAAATGCTATGTGAATTAATGATGTTATACACTGCAAATATTCTGCTTGTATTCCTAATGAAAATCTATTAGGAGGGTGGATGAGACACTGCTCATGTCTTGCATCCTCAGTCTAGTGGATCATTGTGGCAGCTGCCTACAAGAATTAGTAGATATTCCCTGGTGGTTCTAAATGCTGCCCTCACACATTGTGTGCGACCAGGAGTGCAGTACTCTGTACAAATCACTGGGTGGCGTTATCACTGTTCCCATCTCACCTGAGACTGTGCATGCGCATAGAGCCTCTGACTGATCGTGAACGCAGACAGTGTGCACCCTGGTTTGGCCTTTCGGCATGTTCTGGCCACACACCAACTGGCTGCCTTTGAACGCAGCAAACTGTGTGGTCCTAGATGCCCCTGTGAATGTAGCCTTAGCCTGTCACACCTGTACCAGGGTGTTTGTTGGGGCTCTCCTTGCAAGCTTTTAAAGATCAAGCAAAGGATCAAATCTTACATCTTTTCACCCAAAATGGAACATTAGGTGATATTAGTAGCCACTCCTCCCTGAAAGTCCATTAAATAGATCTGAGCCTGGGAAAAAAAACTCCCATTGGGGAAATGTGATTCTTTGATCTGTATAAATTGTGCAGTCGTAAGGCTCAGTTCATTAAGATTGATGAGATGTTTTAAATCTGTTCAATTTTTTATCTCATACTGTATTTTCCCCCAAAAATGTTCAGTTCACAAACATAAATATGACTTAGTGGAAAATTTTTCTTAGCTCCTTTTCCGGTTCTTCCCAATAAATAGCTCATTAAACTCACATATGCCTCCAAATTGACGTAGCAGTATTTGAAGAAGCCATTTGATAATCCTTGTGAGTTGATTTTCATGGTCAAAATACTTTAAAAAAATCAATAAAACAAAGTGTGTGCCATAAATCCAGCTGGCCCATGCTCTAATGGCTTTAGTGGATTTAAAATGACATTTTTGCTCGTAAAACATATAATACAGGGTAATGGAAATGACACATCCATTAGGTTTTTGTGAATTGAGTCAATGGTTCTTGTGGGTGTTGTATTACAAATCTGCTGTACCATTTCGAGGAAAGTAGAAAAGGGTCTAGTTCTATTTAGTTATTAATTCATGTCATCATTTTAAAGGAATATATTGTCTTTCAGTACATCTGTAGTTCTTCTTTAATGTGCTGTACATGGACTCCTACAACATCTAATAAATGCATGGTTTTATTATATATATATCTTTTGTATGTTAGATTTGGCCACACTCTACAGAGCACACATTAGACAGTCATATTAAGTGATGAGAAAATATATACTGATGAGGTGGGCTAAAAGGAACCAAAAACCCCTCCATCGCACCAGAGCACAGCGTAGCAGGTTATTTTTGAAACAGAAGGTTTCACTAATCTCAAAATAAGGTTTTTATTCTCTATTTTTTGTGGTAGAGCTATGCAAATCAATCCTTTATGCCAGGGGTGTCCAAACTTTTTTCAAAGAGGGCCAGATTGGATGAAGTGAACATGGTGGAGGGCCGAACATTTTTCCGAACATTCTTTGAACCATTACAATTAAATGCAAATAAATTATTTTATGCCAAGTTAATTGCAAACGACATACTTTTCATTTCATAACATTAAGATCAACTGACAGCTGAGTTTTCACAATGTATTGAAAATAAATTTAAAAAAAAACTTACCTGCACTAATGTGAAGGGTGAAAAAGGTAGCTGGAGCTGAAGTCTCTGCTCAGCAGCCGGGATGGGAAGAGAAACACACTTCACGCTGAAAGCCCGGCCCTGACTCACCGCCCTCTATCGCTCCCAGCGCGGCGCAGTCACGTATGCGCACTGCTCTCAAGCAGAAGACTGTCTGCCACAGAAGGGAGGGCCATGCGACAGCCGCATTTACACAGACCAGGGAGAATGCGCCGCAGTCAGGCATGCGCACTGCCCTCTGCTCTCAAGCAGAAGACTGTCTGCCATAGAAGGGAGGGCCGTGGGAGGGCCACATTACACAGAGCAGGGAGGGCTGTTGGAGGGCCGTATTAAACCGACCCCCGGGCCGTAAATGGCCCACGGGCCGGACTTTGGACATGCCTGCTTTATGCCCTTGGGCCAACTCCTTCTCCAGAACTGCTGATTTATAGTACAATTCCATACAAATATAGAGCAATGTATTCCAAAATACAAACCGCCATTTCGGGGTTGTTGACCTTCATCAGTGCAGTTTGTGAGAGCCATGAGATTTATATAGTAGGACTTGGGGAGCAACAATGAAATATTAACCAGACAGGTTATAATGAGGTGGGCTAAAAGGAACTGAAACGTCCTCTACCCAACCAGTGCAGAGCACAATGGAACCTTCTTAATAAAGAAGTTTGGTTACAGCTCCAAAACTTTTCATAACTAGTTTGAGTAACTTGTCTTTAAAATGTTTTTATTACTGTATGTTTTCTCTTTAGCTATACGAAATCTTCACCTTTCTCAAGGGACATGGTGCTGTAGTCATGGTGCATGCAGAAAACGGGGATTTAATAGCTCAGGTAAGCTTGTAAACTGATATTATCCGATGTGGAGTTTCTAGAACATAGGCTAATAAATATTTGAGATCATAAATGATACATGCGGGTTGAATAAATGATAAACTGGGAGGCCAATAAATATATGATTGTGCAAACAGAGTTGCTATTTGCATGTTTACTTCAGGAACTCACCTTGTGATAGAATGATAAGCTAAGGCTGGCCATACTTCAGTATTTTTTTTTTGTTCAACCATTGGGTTGAACGGAAAAAAATGATTTGATTCTATCTGCGCTATTGAATTGTGACACAGGAGAAACTTCCCCGCTGATGGAATACACCAATCAGTGCTACCATCTATAGCCGACGACGATCCTGTTTTTGCAGAAAGTTTCCAATCAGTCGCTCAGGCAGCCATCCCATAAATGGATTGAATTTCGATCCATGTATGGCCAGCTTAATCAATATTTGCTGCCAGGTATTGTTGTCAGCTCAGTAATCCAATGCTTTTTTAGTTGTTTCCCTGCAGGCTTAACTTAAAGCCTGTTGCTGATTTTCTTCTAAAGTGCTAGCTATTTGGCTGTTTTCAAAATTATCTGAGAAACGGACCCAGAACAAGCATGCAGACCAGGAAAGTCAGAATTCCTGTCCTGCATACTTCTTCTTCCAGGTAAATTTAAAAGTACCGAAGCTATTACAGTTTTTAGAAGCAAGATGGTGATGGTCAAGAAACGTGCTGGTCCTCGAACAGATGATAAGGCTTATTTTTAGTAGAATCCATCCGGCTTCAGACGTCATATTGGTCAAATGTGTCTCTGCACTGTGCTATTAGTATTCAGGGCATAGCATGCTTACTGGCAGCCAAAAGTATTTGTAATTACAGTACATCCTCCGTGAGCTGTACTTCTTGATTTATTGGATGTCAGATAATCCCATTCCCGGTAGGTGAATCACATCTATTTATTATTTTACTTGAATCTAATGAATCTAATTCTCATTCTGCATCAGTTCTTTTACTTCTAACCGTTTTATGGCATATTGGTAATCAAAGTAGCAGCAAATTGATATATAGGATTTTAAGAATTTTGCTATCAATCAGTTACTTCACGTTCATCCAGCACAAAACTGTACATAGGTCACATAGCAGAACGTTCATTAACCACCATCTTACCAATTGCAGAGTTTAGGGCTGTGTCTGATTCACATAGGCACCTGGGTTATCAATGTCCCCTGAACACTCCATACTGCAAGTGTTGGCTGCCCAGAGTTGTAAAGATGATGAGAGATGTCATAGAAAATCCAATTTGCCCCTTGTTATGTAGTCAATTTGTGAGCAGCTATGAAGGTTGTTCTATCAATGTCAAGGTTCCTATTAGACATGTGAAGTCTGTATGATTTCATGGGTCTTAAGGCCAGCTGATGGCTTTGTCTTCAAAACACCCTTAACCAGAGCTTGGAATACAATCGAATGAACAGCAAAAAAGGAAAATATTTAAATTAGCACAAGGGGCGGTTGATATGAATGTAGTAGAAATTAATTATAAGTGCTTGATAAGATGGTATATTACACCTAGTGTGGCACAAAAGCAACAAGTAGAGAATTCACCTTTAGCTTGGTGGGGGTGTGGGATAAAGGGAATTATGGCACATATATGGCAGGAATTCACCAAGATACAGGAATTTTGGCAGGAAATAGTACAACAAATACAGGAGATCTAAGATGTTTGTATTTTAAAAGGCCCGTGGGTTTGTCTATTCCATAATACTTAGTTTACAGTGAAACAATATAAGAATATGATAATATTTCATCTAATAAATGCGGCAAAAGGATTGATCCCTAAATTCTGGCAGGCTCAGGAGATCCCTAAAGTAAAAGATTGGATATATAGAGTAGATGATATTTATAGGATGGAGGAATTACTCCATAGTGGAGAAGATAAAATGGGAAAATGTATAAAAACATGGGAAAGATGGTGTGATTTTAAAACCTCAATGAGATATGCAGAATTGATAAGAGCTTAAAGAAGAGGGAAAGATAAATGGAGAAGATGCAGGAATGATGGTTTAATTAGGAAGGAAAAAGAAAAGGAAGAATGAGAGGAATGGGGAGAAGGAAAGTATAAGTAGTATTAGAGGAGTAAGAAGAGAAAGGAAAAGAGAGGGAAAGATTGGTGTTTTGGTGGGTGGGAGGAGGGGGGGAAGGAATATGTAAATTTATGTATTGTAAAATTGTGTCTTATGAAACGATATATTATTGGTTTTTTCTTTTGTAAACTAAAATAAAAAAAACCCCCAAAAAACAAAAAAAAAACCCCACCCTTAACCAAAGGACATAATTACAGATATTGCAGCCCATGGAGCTCCTGTGCAGCATTGGAGCGGGTTGCTTCCTGGTACTATAGATGTGTAAAAAGAGACTATAAAAAATTGTTGCTGATTGACAGTATAGCTCTTGTTGCAAACACTGAATTAGGTGTTATGAAGTGCCAGCTACTTTTCTGAGCTGTAATCACGTTCCAACTACCCAAATCATCTTAGTACCAGTCTAGCATGAGGGAGAAGCTCCTGTCCTTTGATCCATAGCACAGCATTGACCAATGAGGAGACGTTAAATGTTGGACTAGACCATATTCTGACTACAACTTAAGTTACTGTAGGTGTACTTTTTAGGTACCCACCCAGAGTTAAGGGTATGTAAAAGGGGTGTATTTTGTTGTTGTTCACCAATGTTTAGGGGGTATAAATAAGTTTACATTATAGCTCAAATACCACTGATGGGGACCTCATGAAAATTTTGCTGTGGAATTTCTACTTAAATCTTATCTGGACCCCTTACTTCTCTAGTCTGTTGCCGAAAGAAAACATTTTTATCACTAGATGTGGAATGCCCAATGGCAGCTTCTGATTGATCACTCATTCCTTCTACTGATTATATATTGTATTATCAGTACTGGACAGATCACAAGTTTCGGGTAGCCAATAAGTTGTAAAACCTACTGCCAGTGTCCAAATTTTTTAGCTTTTCCAATTGTATTGAACAGAACTCTACTGTATGACCTTTAAAGTTCTGCATAAACATATCCACCCATGAATATTCCCTGAATATTATTCTGTAGTGACCCTCCCAGGGTATTTAAAAATGGAGCAGTTCTTAGCAGGAAGGGGTGGGGCATCACAGGCTGATATTTGTCCACGTGAATGGAATGTCATAATACATTTCAAATGTGTACAGGACCCAGGGTGCTAGCATCAGGAGCAGACTCCCACTGTGTAGACTTGCCTTTCTCAACCAGGGTGCCCAGGTACTCTGGGGTGCCTTGACATGTCTTCAGGGGTGCCTTGGCAAAATTTCTAAAAATTGCCCAAAACCTGTCTACAATCCAGTGGGTGGAAGAAGCCTGCCTTTTAGTTGCTCAAAGCCACAGGTTCATTGTGCACCATTATGACCTTCTAGCCACCGGCATCCTGACAACCAATGACATCATCAGCTGATAAGGAGGATGTCAGCTGCCTGCACAGCATCCTAGTTTCACCCTCCCCTGCCCCTCTCCATCAGTGCTGAGGTCACATTAGCTCAGTGATGGAGTAAAACTGAGGGAGAAGAGAAACACTGTAATACTAGTCAGGACCAGTGTGTAAAAGTGTATTTGCTGTGGAAGAATAAATCACTTCTAATGTTGGGTGTCCTACATATGTGGATGTTGCTGCATTATATAAAACTATTAGAATAGTTTTTCACATTTTAGAATGGGGTGCCCTTTTAAAATTATGGGTAGTCTTGAGGTACCCCATTTTAGAACAGGGTGCCTGAAGACTGTCCATAATTTTAAAGGGTGTCTTGGGACTGTCCATAATTTTAAAGCGTGCCTTGAATGAAAAAAGGTTGAGAAACACTGGTGTAGACAAATGCATTACAATCTGACTGTACAATCTCCTTTGAATTTACCAAAAAGGATATAACGCTATAAATTCAGCAAGGACAGAGACTCAGTGGTGTGGCAACAATTTTTTTAATGCCTCGTTGGTTCTTTATTGTTTCTTTCCTTTTTGATCTTTTCATCTATTTTTCTTGCGAGCTGTAACAGTGGTTTTATATAAATTTTTTGTATACAAAACAAACTAACATTACAATTTCTAATGACCAGGAACAAAAGCGGATCCTGGAAATGGGCATCACCGGACCTGAAGGACACGCGCTGAGCCGGCCAGAAGAGGTATGTTGGTTATCATACAAGGTCTTTAATTGCTCTCCTACTTGCATATTTTTTTAACCTGAAACTGAACCTGTGGTCAGGATATGGACATTTAAGTATTTACATATTCCTAAGAAGTTGTAAATTAGTTTTAAAACAAGCTCACTCTGCAGCTGCATTCACCTTGGAGAAATCCATCGTCATCCACAGTAGAAGCACTGAAGTCATTCAAGTCCTTATCTCAGCAGCTCAGCTCAGCTCCACTCCTATAACTCCTTCTTTGTGCTCCTGAGTCACTGCCGGGCGTGACATTGTAACATTCTGACTGAAGCATTACTGCTTCTTTAATATGCACATTAATATATGTTGTATTAAAGCAGCACATTCATTTTGATTGGGCTGCCAACATACCACAACACAGTCTAAAACAAACATAACCCATGTTTTGCAAAGCGATGTGAGTGCCCTGCAAGCTAATGTGTTATTATATTGGGGTGGCAGTCAAAATAATGGCACTAGATTGTACGGTACTATTACTGTGGTGAATGGAATCTGTTAAAGTATTCCTTTAAAATTGCTTTGTGCATTCATCTTTGAAATTTTAGCTGCAACAATTTCCAAATTCCAAAGATAAAATTATATAAGTTGTGCTTACAATGCATCAAGGATATTGGGTGTCAGTAAAGTCTCTTACATTTGTTATATAAGATATAAATATGTAATATATATGTATACACTATATTGCTAAACGTATTGGGACGCCTGCCTTTACAAGCACATGAACTTTAATGGCATCTCAGTCTTAGTCTGTAGGGTTCCATATTGAGTTGGCCCACCATTTGCATCTATAACAGCTTCAACTCTTCTGGCAAGGCTGTCCACAAGGTTTAGGAGGGTGTCTATGGGAATGTTTGACCATTCTTCCAGAAGCGCATTTGTGAGGTCAGGCACTGATGTCAGGCGAGAAGGCGTGGCTCGCATTCTCCACTCAAATTCATCCCAAAGATGTTCTATTGGGTTGAGGTCAGGACTCTGTGCAGGCCAGTCAATTTCCTCCACCCCAAACTCGCTCATCCATGTCTTTATGGACCTTGCTTTGTGCACTGGTGCGCAGTCATGTTGGAACAGGAAGGGGCCATCCCCAAACTGTTCTCACAAAGTTGGAAGCATGAAATTGTCCAAAATGTCTTGGTATGCTGACGCCTTAAGAGTCCCCTTCACTGGAACTAAGGGGCCAAGCTCAACCCCTGAAAAACAACCCCACACCATAATCCCCCCTCCACCAAACTTTACACTTGGCACAATGCAGTCAGGCAAGTACCATTCTCCTGGTAACTGGCAAATCCAGACACATCGGATTGCCAGACAAAGAAGCGTAATTCATCACTCCAAAGAACACGTCTTCACTGCTCTAGAGTCCAGTGGCGGCATGCTTTACGCCAGTGCATCCAGTTCTTTGCATTGCACTTGGTGATGTAAGGATGTGGATGCAGCTGCTCAGCCATGGAAACCCATTCCATGAAGCTCTCTACGCACTGTTGTTGTGCTAATCTGAAAGCCACATGAAGTTTGGAGGTCTTTAGCTATTGACTCTGCAGACAGCTGGCGACGTCTGCGCACTGTGCGCTTCAGCATGCGCTGACCTCGCTCTGTCATTTTACGTGGCCTACCACTTCGTGGCTGCATTGCTGTTGTTTCCAGTTGCTTCCACTTTGTTGTAATACCACTAACAGTTGACCGTGGAATATTTAGTAGCAGGGAAATTTCACTGAAGGACTTATTGCACAGGTGGTGACCTATCATAGTAACATGCTTGAATTCACTGAGCTCCTGAGAGCAACCCATTATTTCACAAATGTTTGTAGAAGCAGTCTGCATGTCTAGGTGCTTGATTTTTTACACCTGTGGCTATGGAGGTGATTGGAACACCTGAATCCAATGATTTGGAGGGCTGGCCCAATACTTTTGGCAATATATAGTGTATATATATATATATATTCAAAACGTATTTACTGTTTTTTTTTGTGGAACTGACTTTGAAGAATTAATATTGTCAAAATATTTTCTGGACTGCCCTTATTAAGAGTAAGTGATGCAGGGTTGGTTTTTTACACAGTTTACAAAATGTGAAAATGCGATTTTGACAGATCCTGGATTGCCTGCATTTTACCATGAATCAGCTAAATTTTGGAGCAGTGAATTATTTAAGCTCTCACGAACTTAAAAGATGAACAGATTGTCCTTGAAAGATCAAGAGGGTGTGTAATTTGACCATGCCGCGTGGATGATAAAATTTTATTGAAGCAGACATGCTACTTTCAGATCTCCTTGGTGGTTATTTTTTTTTCCATCAGTTTATACTTGTTTTTCACCTCACGGGAAATTGAGTCTGCTGAGATACTATATTGTAAAAGAAAATATGAATTTGAAGGAAAAAAAATAACAGCATGCATGGCAATTATCGGATATGCAGACAGCAGCTGGATAATTTCAGATAATTCAAATATTTAAGCTTTTCATTGACTTAGGCCTCCATATTATTTATTATTAGGTCATTCTTGGATAGCAGTTCACGGCAAAGAGGAAAAGTAGTCACCAAAGCCCTGGCCATACATGTGGCAAAATTTCAGTAAATTTCAAATATGATAGCAAGTAATTGCCAGAAACAAAGCAAGATACCATCAATCGACCACCAGTCAACTGTGAGGCTAAGATTAGGCAATTTATATACAACTTCAATATAGTTTATTAGAAGAGTGAACATGAAACAATATGATGTAGTTTAAATCAGGTGGATTTTTCTACCACAATTGTTTAGGGCAATCTCAATCCCATTAGTTTGTGGCCAAAACTATCATTATACTGTATATCCCTAATTGCTTTGCAATTTCAACAAAGAAAAATTGTTAACTGAAATCTGTTTTAGATACCATCATGTGCAGGAGTGTCGATGTCCTAGTCCCTCACTACTCCTAAGGGCTCCCACTGACCGCCAGTAGGCAGTAGACAAATGTTGCTAAAGAAGCTCATTTAACAAAGTTGAAAATGGTCTCTTCTCATGATCAGTAATTTTGTAGGAAAATCAAATTTACCAAAATCACTCTGCTAATCCCTAGTCATTTTTAGGTGTGCCTAGAGGACTTATGAAGTCTAAAAACAGCCTGGGCTGTATCTACCATAATGCCACTTGTGGGCCAGTACCTAGGGTGGAGGGGGGGGGGGGTGGTTGGATGGTGCAGCACCAAGTTTTAGAATGAATTCTTTCCAATAACTTTTTTTCTGTTTTTTCCCACATCTGGATCTCTGAGCATTTGTGGCTAGCAAGAAAATTGTAGGGGGTAAGAGGTGCAGAGGATATTAAGATTCAGAAGACTCACTACAGTTCAGGAAACATGAAGACATCTCTGATTTCTCATGATTGGTGGTCTGCATATTAGCCCCACATATTAGACAGACCACATGTTGCCTCTATGAGTGCATTCTAGTTGTCTGTTTGCCAAAATAATCACATAAAACAAGGAGGAGAGCTTAAACAACAAGGCATTATTATTCAAGTGTGCCTAGGGCAGCATGATTTCTAAGTACGACCCTTAAACTAACCTATACACCCATCTGTCGTTCACTGATCTGATTTCAGTAGCATTAAACATTGGCTGGCTCTGATGACCTATTATCCATTATATATCATTGCGCTTTTAACTATTTTACTCAGTCCTAACTACCATCTTTACGGTGTGTTGCATTTGGATAAATACTCAGCTTTCTTCATGGAGACTGCATACCGCTTATTGAATTGTATGTACACTCATCACCCACTTTATTAGGTACACCTGTTCAATTGTTTGGTAACACAAATTGCTAATCAGTCAATCACATGGCAGCAACTCAATGCATGTAGGCATCTAAATGTGAAGATGACTTGCTGAAGTTAAAAACCGGGTAGTAGAATGGAGAAGAAAGGAGATTTAAGTGGCTTTGATCATGGCTTGGTTGTTGGTGCCAGATGAGCTGGTCTGAGTTTTTCAAAAACTGCTGATCTACTGGGATTTTCAAGCACAACCATCACTAGGGATTACAGAGAATGGTCTGAAAAATAGAAAATATCTAGTGAGCGGCAGTTGTGTGGATGAAAATGCCTTGTTGATGTCAGAGGTCAGAGGAGAATGGGAAAATTGGTTTGAGATGATAGAAAGGCAACAGTAACTCATTACAACCAAGGTATGCAGAATACCATCACTGAACGCACAACATGTCGAAGCTTGAAGCAGATGGGCTGCAGCAGCAGAAGACCACACCGGGTGCCACTCCTGTCAGCTAAGAACAGGAAATGGAGGCTAAAATTTGTCCAGGCTCATCAAAATTGGACAATAGAAGATTGGAAAAACATTGTCTGGTCTGATGAGTCTCTATTTCAGATGCGACATTCAGAAGGTAGAGTCATAATTTGGCATAAACAACATGAAAGCATGGATCCATCCTGCCTTGTATCAATGGTTCAGGCTGGTGGTGGTGGTGTAATGGTGAGGGGGTATTTTCTAGCCACACTTTGGGCCCCTTAGTACCAGTTGAGCATTGTTTAAACACCACGGCCTACCTGAGTATTGTTGCTCACCATGTCCATCCCTTTATGACTAGTGTACCCATCTTTTGATGACTACTTCTAGCAGAATAATGCACCATGTCACAAAGCTCAAATCAGCTCAAACTTTCCTGAACATGACAATGAGTTTCTTGAACATGACAATGAGTTCACTGTACTCCAATGGCCTCCACAGTCACCAGATCTCAATCCGATAGAGCATCGTAGGTATGTGGTGCAACAGGAAATTCGCGTCATGGATTTGCAGCCGACAAATCTGCAGCAACTGCGTGATGCTATCATGTCAATATGGACCAAAATCTCTGAGGAATATTTCCAACACCTTGTTGAATCTATGTCACAGAGAATTAAGGCAGTTCTGAAGGCAAAAGGGGGTCCAACCCGATACTAGCAAGGTGTACCTAAAAAAGTGGCCGGTGAGTGTATATAAACAGTTTTGTGCATATTTTGTAATGACAAATGTTTTTGTGTTCTTCTCTGACAGCTGGAGGCAGAGGCCGTGTTCCGAGCCATAGCTATAGCAAGTCAAATCAACTGCCCAGTATACATTACCAAAGTGATGAGCAAGAGCGCCTCTGATGTTATTGCACAAGCCAGGAAGAAAGGTTAGATGTTTTCTCTCTTTGACATACTGTTCACTTGAACAATAAGAATAACTGAAGACAAAGCTCCAATGGTGGGGACAATAGTTCTGGTGACCCTGGTGACTAACAAGGATTTTCCCTCACTTTAAAGGAATCTCCTTCTCACTTCCTGTTGTCACTATGGGATAGGAAGTGGAGGAAATTCTACCTAATGAGACACTGATAGCAAACAAAATACCCTCCCTTGCTACACTAATTCACAAGTAAAGAGGCCTTAGTGAGTTCTCCTCCAAAGCATGTAATAGGTTTTAGTAGTAAGTTGTGGTCATACAGCATGGCTCAAGGATTATTTTGATTGTCTGGTTTAGACTGTCAGTTCATTTGCATAACAGCATCCAAACTAGCTTCAGTAAATTAGCAATAAAATAAAATAGCAAGTTAAAATTATTAATTGGAAACAATTCCCTCAATTAGAAATGCCTCTAATAAGCGCTCTATGGCTAGCCTAAGGCTAGCCATACATTATACAATTTTCCTTTTAAATTTACCAAAATCATATAATAGGAGGTCAAACCTAAACACTTTCAATTTGTATGCAGTCAGGCAGACCCTTGCACTACATAGTTGAAGGTAAATCTAAAGGCAATTGAATAAAAAAATGTTATAATGTACGGCCGGCTTAAGTGGCTGGGCTGGATTACCATTCGGAATATTGGGTACATGCCTAAAGGTGGCACAGCATGACTATTATTGGGAATGTATTTTTTTTTCATTATTAGAAATCTCACGTAAGGGTATTTACACATTATCACAATATTCTAAACCAAGTTAAGACCAGTAAAACAAGGAAATATCCAGTTTTAACTGCTTCTCCTCCTCCCTATATCAGAACCACTGCTACAGGATGGCACAGCTGCGCAAAATCACGTATATATACATGATTTGCATTTGCAAATAGGGGGCGTGCGCTCGTGCTGCCCTACCCGCACCGCCACTGGTAGCTATGGATGTCAGTAACTGGGTCCCTACCAGCGATTCCCCGCCAGCACCCATCGATCACTGAGTAACACTAACAGGGAAGAGACTTGTGGTGTTCTCTCCTGCCAGCAATAACATGCTGCTGTGTATTTCTCTGCACAGAAGAGAAATACACAGCAGCATGTTTCCCTAGTAAAACACAAACAGCACATGATGTGAAACAGCACACAGTTAACCCTTTGATCGCATCAGGCATCAATCCCTTCCTGCCAAGTGTCATTAGTACAGTGTCAGTGCTTTTTTTTAGCACTGATCACGGCATTAGTGTCATTGGGATGTCAGTGGCAGTTAGTCAGTTCCCCCCCAGTGTCAGAATGCCCGCTGCAGTCCCACTATAAGTCACTGATTGCCACCATTACTAGTATAAACCCCCTCCCCAAAAAAACAATATATGTACTGCCATTTGTAGACGCTATAATTTTCACATAAACCAATTACTTTAAATGTATTGGGATTTTTTTTAGCAAAGACCTAAATTTAGGGCGAAATTTGATTCTTAAATTTTTAAAAAATGCACAGGTGATCAAATACCACCATAAGAAAGCTCTATTTGTCGGGAAAAAAAGGACATAAATTTCATTTGGGTGCGGCATTGCATGACTGCGCAATTGTTAGTTAAGGTAACGCAGCGCCGTATCGCAAAAGATGGCCTGGTCAGGAAGGGGGGTAAATCCTGCTTAATCTGATCTATCTATGGTCATTCCCATTCGAGAGGAGCCAGTCTAGTAACGGACTCCTCTCGAATGGGACTATTGGAATGTTTGTGCTCAATCAGTGCTTGCAGCCAATCGGTTTGCATCGCTGATTAGTGTATTCTGGCCACTGAGGAATGTCGTTGCCAGGATACAATAGCACCCCATCTACCTTAATTGTGGGGATGGGGGATTCTGTTTTCATTTTTTTCTTTAGATCAGCCGCCTGACTGGTCAAAAAAATAAAAACAATCCATCTATGACCAGCTATTAAGATGGCTGCTAAGTTCTGTGCCTGCAGGCTCCAATGATGAAAATCCAGCTATGAACAGTGAAGAAGAGGTTCTGATCTGGAATTCTGGAAGCTAAGCCCTATAAACATTATAGTCTGCCATCTGGGTTGCAAGATGGCACAAGAGGTGTACTTACCTCCACTGTCTGCCTGTAAATGCCATAGCTCGGCCACCGTCAGCCTGACTCCTGATCCCACTACACTAGGGGTGTGCAAAGCTTTGGGGAATTTGTATATTTACACTGTGGTTATATAGGAGAGCTGGAAGCAGGGAAGGAAGCTGCACAAAATGGTTGGGGGCAGGAAAGGGGGGGGGGGGCAATAGGTCATTTTGGTCCTTTTTTACTTGAGAGCTAAAGGATCCTGTCCCGGCACTGTTTACAGGTTACTTTTAAAGTATCTACACATACATTCTGCCATTTGCGTAATAACTGAACAGTGTATGGCAAGATTACATAACTAGTGGTTCTCTTGCTTTCAGGAGCGATAGTGTTTGGAGAGCCCATTACCGCCAGTTTAGGGACAGACGGGACCCATTACTGGAGCAAAAACTGGGCAAAGGCTGCTGCTTTCGTTACTTCTCCTCCTCTCAGTCCAGACCCAACCACACCTGATTATTTGACCACTATGTTGGCATGGTAAGACCTACACTTACAGTGAATATCTGTATGATCTTTATTGCATGTTTAGGTCCAGCTTGACACAATGTAAGTATGTATATGTTATATCTGAGAGGCTTCTGGGAAATCTGACAATCGCTGTAGTAGTCTGGGCTACTACAGTAATAGCCGCAGTCTTCCTGGTTCTGTGTGAGCAGCTTCCCCCTCTGCACACTTGACCACAAGAGGTCATTTGCTTGGCAAATACTCAGCTTCTGCTATATACTTGGCTTGTGCTTTCCCAATTAGGTATCCATTCATAGTTGCCTGTCTTACATATTTAAGGTGCTGAAAATGAGTCTGTACGTAATCCTGAATTTTGCCTCCAGTCTAAGTGCATTGAATGTCTCTACAGAACACTAACACAGTGTGTGACATTTCTTGCAGCGGTGATCTCCAGGTGACGGGAAGTGGACATTGTTCTTACAGCACGGCACAGAAAGCCATAGGAAAAGATAACTTCACTTTAATTCCAGAAGGAGTGAATGGTATAGAGGAGAGAATGACCATCGTATGGGATAAAGCCGTGGTAAGTAATAGTGTAGTCTTGCATTAGCTATTTATTAACAGTAGCTACATGCCTCCCAGTGAAGAACACATGGTGGGATAGTCATATTTGTAAAAATGAATTCCAGACATGGTATATTTTTACATAGTTACATTGATCCAGATTGAACCAATGTAACTACAGTTGTGTTCAAAATAATAGCAGTGTGTTGAAAAGTGAATAAAGCTCAAATTCCTTCTAATAGCTTTTATTTCCATACACACAAATGCATTGGGAACACTACACATTTCTATTCTAAATCAAAACATGAAGAAAAATATATCAAATTTGTGTTGAATAGGTGAATAGGTGAATAAGTGAATATTAGACTGTTCAAAAAAATAGCAGTGTTTGTATTCTTCTTTACAAACTCAAACATTCACTATATAAACTGAAAAATTTTGAAGATTTTGCTTTCCTTTGAATCACTTCATTAATATTTCGTTGTATAAGCACTGTTTCTGAGAACTGCTGTACATCTGTGTTGCATGGAGTCAACCAACTTCTGGCACTTGTGAACAGGTATTCCAGCCCAGGATGATTGGACTACATTCCACAGTTCTTCTCTATTTCTTGGTTTTGCCTCAGAAACTGCATTTTTGATGTCACCCCACAAGTTTTCTATTGGATTAAGAACCGGGGATTGTGCTGGCCACTCCATAACGTCAATCTTCTTGGTCTGGAACCAAGATGTTCCATGTTTACTGGTGTGTTTGGGGTCGTTGTCTTGTTGGAACACCCATTTCAAGGGCATTTCCTCTTCAGCATAAGGCAGCATGACCTCTTCAAGTATTCTGATGAATTCAAACTGATCCATGATCCCTGGTATGCGATAAATAGGCCCAACACCGTAGTATGAGAAACATCCCCATATCATGATGCTTGCGCAACCATGCCTCACTGTCTTCACAGTGTACTGTGTCTTGAATTCAGTGTTTGGGGGTCGTCTGACAAACTGTCTCCGGCCACTAGACCCAAAAAGAACAATCTTACTTTCATCAGTCCACAAAATGTTGCGCCATTTCTCTTTAGGCCAGTCAATGTGCTCTTTGGCAAATTGTAACCTCTTCAGCACATGTCTTTTTTTCAACAGTGGGACTTTGCGGGGGGCTTCTTGCAGATAGCTTGGCTTCACATAGGCATCTTCTAATTGTAACAGTACTCACAGGTAACTTTAGACCTTCTTGGATCTTCCTGGAGCTGATTGTTGGCTGAGTCCTTGCCATTTTGGCTATTCTTCTATCCATTCGAATGGTAGTTTTTCGTTTTCTTCCACGTCTTTCAGGTTTTGGTTGCTATTTTAAAGCATTTGCGATCATTTTAGCTGAGCAGCCTATCATTTTCTGCACTTCTTTATATGTTTTCCCCTCTCCAATCAACTTTTGAATCAAGGTACGCTGTTCTTCTGAACAATGTCTGGAACGACCCATTTTCCTCAGAATTTCAGAGAGAAATGCACTGTAACCAGCATGTACAACATTTGCTGCCTTCCTTCCTTAAATAAGGGCAATAATTGCCACCTGTTTTTCAAAGAATGAATGACCTCACTAATAGAACTCCACACTGCTATTATTTTTAACATGCCCCTTTCAATTAGTGATTCAATTACACAGAATCAGCAGCATGCATGTCATGACTGTTGGGTCTGTTGGATTTCTATTGCTCTACTACACCTGCTAGTAAATTATTTGCCATGTAGAAATATCATTTCTACCAAAAACAGTGATTGATCAGGTTAGTGATGTCTGACCGCTATTATTTTAAACACAACTGTATGTATATACCACAACTGGCCAATGCCCCTGGAAGCTGGAAATCACTGAAGTAGATACTGCTACTCCAGTGATATCCACTTTCTTACGGGTCCTGTTCTGATCTGCTGCCATGCTACACCCTGAACACAGGAGGTCAGTGGCTCAGCATGAGCACCATTCAGAGAATTCTTTGAAGGAAGGCAAAGTGTTTCTCTGATTGGACAAGGTGGAGTGCTGATGTCACAGTGTCCACCCTCTTCTGGGTCCCATGCCGAGCAGCTATCCTGAGACATTCTGAACACACGGGGTCAGCTGCTTGGCATAGGCACCATTCAGAGAATAGTTAGCATCCTCTGAATGATTGCAAACCGTTCTTTGATTGGACAAGGTGGAAATGCGAGGCTGTGACTTCATACTCCCCACCTCATCCAATCAGAGAACGCACTGCATTTGCTGAGAAAAAGCACAGGCACCATTCAGAAAATGCTTTGCAAAGTGTCTGACCTCCTGTGTTCACAATGCATCAGGCCAGCCACACTTCCAGCAGCATTGGCCAGGTATGGTATACACATATTTACATTGGTCCAAACTGGATCAGTGTAACTATGTATACAATATTCATACCTGGAATAATTATTTAAATTAAGAAACTTATATTTTATAGGAAATCAAATCTGGTTCCCCTCTACCCCACAAATACATAGTTGCATAGTTAGTTCAACCAATAGAAAACAAAACTGGGACTGTTCTTTACATTGCACCCCAAGTATATTTTATGCTTTAATCCAGATTTGATAGAGTTTGAAATTTACTCAGATGTAGACGCCTTTTGCAGCTAGTCCTCCCCTTGTAAGATCCACAAAGCAATAGACTATTGGGGGGTTACTTACTTAAGCTGGAAAGTGCAACATCGGGTGCTCTTCTGGATAGGAACCAATCAGCTTCCAGGTTTTATTGCCAAAGCTCAGCAGAAGTTGATTGGCTACCATGCATAGCTGCACCAGATTCTGAGTGCACCAGTTTTAGTAAATCTCCCCCGTATTGTCTGTGGCCGCTATGGACTATAACTCAGAAAAAAGAAGCGGACAGAAATCTACAGAGAAGACATCTGAATTTATTACAGAACAGTAAGTGACCGGTAAACTGTTCCTTAGAGTGCAAGAGGCTAGGCCTTTTCTCTGAGGTTGGAGACTGTCTCAGAGGATGTATGCTTCTTCTGCAGATTACTGAAATGCTGCATAACTAAAACACACAAAGACTTTTTCTTTCCCAAGTAAAGCTCTATTTGCTGTTCTTACACTCTTAGTACTGTAGAGAACTACTTACCATGAGAGGAAAAGGTCTTGTCTGCCTGACTCAAATAATTTAGTAGTTATCACTAGTTGATATACTTAAAGCCACCTTGTGCTTTGCTCCTTCCAAGCAAACAGGTTTCCATTCAGAGTCATCTTTTACGTACCTCCACCTCCAACAAAGCCTTGGTTGGTAACACTGCCTGTGTGTGTGCATACAGACATTCAGTGATGCCGAGCCTGTTAAAATTGCATGCTCCTTCAAAACCTAGAGGTGGTCTCCCGACTTTACAGGCATACTACCAGGCTTCTCAAATAACTCAGCTTTATTATACTACGGCTAAGAGTCCCGCACTTTTGTGGGTCTCTATCAAAGCTCTTTTCTGCCATCCTTTTGCAGTTGGCCCCTGAGTGTGGATTCCTAGCCGTTTGAACCCTCCTTTACTATGTTCTGCTTTGTCCCACTCTCTGGCTTTTTGGGATAGGATTACGGCATCATAAACCATTAGCATCCTTACATACCCAATTTTTGCAACCAAGAGTTTGTCCCCAAGTTGGTTCCTACTTCATTCCAGTGGTGGCTTAACAAGGGCCTTTTGAAGATTGAGGATTATCTTAATGGGAATCAACCATACTCTTTGCATAATTTTGTAGATAAGTTACAGATGCCCTGTAATGAACAACTTCAATAATATCTATGTAATATATTACTTCAATCTTTCCTATGATCTAAGCTTGCCTTACTAGGTGGACCCCTTAAACTCACCTTTTTTGAATTGTCTTGTCAAGCAAGAGGCCTCATGTGGGACGGACTTCTTCGATATATGCTTCCATCACTGACCTGACTACCAAACTTTCATACATGATATAATGGGAGCGGGACCTGAATTTTACCTAGGAATTGCCTGTTTGGCAGGACATGGTTTATGCCTTGTCTAAAATATCTATTAATACCACATTGATTGAACCTAACTATAAAACTCTTTTGTGCTGGTACCTGGTCCCTGCCTGTATTGCCAAAATGCATCCTACTGTGTCGCCTGCCTGTTTTCGGCATTGTGGGCAATTGTGGACAATGTCTCACATATGGTGGCAATGCCCTGTAGTGACAAGATTTTGGATTAGAATGTTCAAGTTTATTTATTCAGTGAATGAAAATTCGCAGATCCCTGGAGGCGGCTCTCTTCCATAAGCTACCTGACGAGGTCCAAAAGAAAACAGTGAATCTCATTATTAGCTCCTGGCAGCACAAATTCCTATCGCTAACCATTGGTGGTCGGTTGTACCATTGGACTATGTGAAACATAAGTTTAATTGGATTATGGTCAATGGCAAACTCACCTCTATCCCCATACAAAACTAAGAAATTCGACAGGACGTGGGACCAGTGGATTTGGTACTTGTCCACTCCTTAACTTATGCCTGGCTGACCTATCTTCACCCCTTCTTTTCTTGTTTTCCTCTACATTTTTTCTTTATATTATCTTTTTATTTCGTTTTTATTTTGATGGCGGCTTCCGGTATGGCCTCAGTGATGCCTCCCACCATGCTTTGATGAGTAGCTACCTCAGTTGTCCTCATAGGTGACACAACCCTGTTTGATGTTATAAATCTTTCCCAGTATTCCATACACAACTTGCTTTTTCTGCTCAGATGCACGCAGCCACAGGGAGCAAATACCTGCTATTTATGGGTATGGAGCAACATGTGACTAACGCCTCTTCTTGCCATGTCACAGAGCTGGTGCTTGGAGACTGGCTCAGCACTGTCACATGAGGCTAGAGAGAGCTTTCAAAAAAAGCTCTGAGATACTGCACTTGTGTGAGATGAAGTCAATGAGATCATGCAATTTATATTGAGCAAAGGCAGTATGATAACGCTGCAAGACCTGGCAGATTAGGTACAGGATTTCCCTTAAGGCAATGGCGATATTGCCTTCCCAGGGGTCTTCTGTATGGCCGGGCTACATCAGCACTGCACTGTGGGAAACCAGGATGTGGAAGAGAAAAAAAAAAAGCAAAGAAAAAAAGTTTGTTTTTTTTTTTAAGCGGAGTTCCACCCAAAAGGGGAAGCTCCGCTTGTCTGCCTCCTCCTCCCCTCCGCTGCCACATTTGGCACTTTTTGTCGGAGCGGGTACCTGATATAAACAGGTACCTGCTTCCAATTTTGGCTCAGTTCGGCCCCCCTCCTTCCCCCTGCAGCCCTGGAACTGTGGCCCATTCACAAAGCACAGTGCGATTCATGCATGCGCAGTAGGAAACCATATGTGAAGCCACAAAGGCCTTAGTCAAGATGATTGAAGAGGACACCGCTGGATCCCTGGACAGGTAAGTGACCTAATATCAAAGTCAGCAGCTACAGTATTTGTAGGTACTGACTTTAAATTTTTTGGAGAGGGGGCTGGAACTCCTCTTCAAGTGTTAGGTGTTTTCATATCGGCATGCAGAGATGCGTACTAATGTGATATTTAGGGAAACGGGGGACAGGTCTGCTTTAAGGTCCAACTAGATCAACTCTGAACTTACTAATAGTTTCATTCCATACTCCTGCTGGCTAATGGAGCAACATGGAAGTAAAAGGTAGGTGAGGATGTGTTTGTAAGCTTCAGACATATGAACAAAGCATAGCCTTCTAAGTGTGTACATGTCTCAGTCCAGAGCACTAAGGATATATTCACACCAGATGCAATGGAACTGCGTTGGGCATCTATTCCAGGGCAGTCCAACCGCATGGATGAGGCAAAATGCCTTGTCTCTAAGTGCCCAGATCACACCACTGCACTCTGGTGATGTACAGGCACAGTGCACTGGTAAAAAATACTACATGCAGTACTTTATCAGTTCAGCACAGTGAGGGGCAATCCATTACTTTCCACCGTGCGGCTGGCAATTGAACTTTATGAGATGTCTTTGTGTGTCAATAAAGTTTATTTCTAAAAAATAAAAGGAAATAGTGGGATCTGCCATGCTCAGCACATCATCACTGTGCTGAGCTCAGCTGAATTGCACTGTGAACCAGCCCTCAGTGTCATTTCTGTCTGTTGCCCTGTGCCTCTGCTATCAGCATGAGTCACTTCTGGCAAGTTTTCCTGAAGCCAATTGGTAAAAAGGTGACAGGGGAAGGAGCTCCAGCACACAGCCTGTGAATAACAGCCTCAGCTCTGTTCCTGTGTGCTGTGTGAAGGGGGTGTGTCTCTTTCCTCCAATCAGCTCTCAGCTTTCCTCACTGAGCTCTGCAGTGTGTAACTTCAGCTCCCCACCCTCTACTTTCTGAAATCTCAGACAAACTGTAAATATTCTGCACTTTGAACAGATGTAGAGAAGAGAAAACTGTAGATATACAGGTACAACTCATGTGGTAGGATTTGTTTAATCTCTGTGTATATAAGATAATGTGTCTGCGCTACAGAAACAGGGCCCTCCAAATTGATGGTCCACACAGAAAGTCTGGGCAGGCTCATCTTCAGTCTTATCACACAATTGTTGTAGAAGTGACCACCACGAATAACTCCAGAGTCCAACACTCGATAAACCTTGCTGCTTTCTTCAATTCGGGGAAAAAAATCTGTGCTACAAGGCAAATATAAGAAGACAGCCCACCAGCCTAGTGCATTACCGTAAGACTTTAATGATTGGGAAAAAAAGAATGCCAAAGTACACACAAAGGCAAATAGTCAAATGCTTGTAAAATTCCAGCAAGCCGCTGGAAGCATGTCCATCCCCAAGGATACAGCTTACGCGTTTCAGGGGTCAGACCCCCTTCCTCAGAGCTCTGTGTATCACCTGAGGACAGTCACCCTAACTGGCTATATGTAAGAGTTTACAACCACTTTGTCAAATTGTTGCTTTGCCTTGCAAGAACAGAAATGCAGATTTACTTGAAAATTCACTTGCAAATGTGTGCTCGTACTCAGACAGGCTGATTTGGCAGAAACAATTATAGGTCTTCATTATTATATAATACTGCCTATTCAGACAATATTTTAGCTAGACTCAGCTGATTTAACAATTTGTGAGCAAAGGACCTATTAGTGTTGTAGTACAATAAACTGGAAAAGGTCAGATCTGTGGGATGGTGCATGGGCTTTCCGGCTACATTTACTCCTAGTGGCAAAATACCCCAGCAGGAGGAAAACCTGAAGTTTCAATTTCTTTATACACAGGAACCATTGAGACTTACATGTGCCATGAACAGCTGGTCAGGGTAGACCACTGAGATCAAGGCTCTGCTGTGCACCAAGCACCTGTAGGAGAGAGGTTGGAGCATCACTTGGAGGCAGAATCTTCTAATAAAAACAGAAAGTTGCATTCAATCTTAGACAGGCCATAAACGAGTTGAAATCCAAAAGTTCTGTTGAGCAAAAAACTAAAATAACTCATACGGTTGTGCCATCAATTGTTTAGTTTTTCTAATAAAAATACATCATGTTGGATCAGAAACTTTTGATTGCAGCACAAAAATTGAGTATCGCAGCTGGTACATTAATGATGCGAAAAATGAATGATTCAAAGTTTTCGCATGGTCTATGGCCTGCTTTGCTGCACTTCAAAGGATGTTTTAGTAGGTAAAATTCTCTTATATAAACATGTTGTGCATGTTACAGGCTACTGGAAAAATGGATGAAAACCAGTTTGTAGCAGTTACTAGCACAAATGCTGCCAAAATCTTCAACCTCTACCCAAGAAAAGGGCGAATCGCAGTTGGGTCAGATGCCGATGTTGTTATCTGGGATCCAGACAAGATGAAGACAGTATCTGCAAAAAGTCATAAATCAGTAAGTCCCAATTCACTTTTGTATTCTAAGGAAAAATGTGATGGATAATAACATACAATACAATCGTGAACAAGGACCAGTCTGTAATGGATGAACACAATTGATCATTAGTGTCAGAAGGACACGTACTGACAGATGTGGATGAGCAGGCAGATGTGAGTATAGTTTTGGGTTAAAGGAAGTTCTATCCATCTCAGAAGGCTCAAAAAATGGATATAATTAGGGTGTGGAGTATGTCCGTGGTAGGTAGGCATTTTCACAGTGGTGGCTGGGGCTTTAATTACCCAGAGAAACATATATTTATTCTAAATTAATAGGACATGCTGATGCCAGAACATGATGATTACGTATGGACAACTTGATGAAAGTGTGGCAGGTAACTAACACATTGGTTGTACAGTATTATAAATCTCAGTGTCAATAGCCCATATATTTCCCATAGTATTAGTAAAAGTGTAAGAGTTTGAGCTGCCAGTTTTGTGGAATAGAACATTTTTGCACAAACCTTTGGCTGAGAATGGTCACATGCAGATCCGTGTACTAGCTCTTGCCATGTTACAGGGGAGAGGGAGAATATTAATGAAATGGGACAGTAAGTACAGTACACATTGTAGTTCAGGGTTTACATGGGTTAAAGAATGGGTCTTTCATTATTAATATATATCTAAAGCCAAAACATGTTCATTTTGGTTTGAGTAGGGGAAGGATAAAACCCCTGACCTTTTTTTTGCCATTTGTGTCCCATTGGTGAGATTTCAATTCATGTCCTGTGGATACAGCAAGAAATGAGAAGTCTCCCCAAAGTTTGGAAAATCCTATAAGAAAGTAGTGATCGGTGATAGGTGTTTATTTACAAAAACTGGTGATCTGCTGCAGCTGTGCATGGTAGCCAATCAGCTTCTAACTTCAGCTTGCTCAATTAAGCTTTGACAATAAAACCTGGAAACTGATTGGTTTCTAGGCAGAGCTGCACCAGATTTTGCACTCTCCAGTTTTAGTAAATCAAGCCTCATGTGTCCCCATTGTAAGCGTTGCCTTCTATTTCTGTTCTGGTGGCTCATAATTTTAAATTTTACAAGACATTAGCTTTAAGTAGACCCCTGAAAGATTAATATTGATAATGAAACATTGCTGTCATTGCTAGGCTGTGGAATATAACATCTTTGAAGGGGTGGAGTTTCGTGGTGCCCCACTGTTGGTTATAAGCCAAGGAAAAATTGTGTTTGAAGATGGCAACCTACATGCTACCCAAGGCATGGGACGATTTATACCTCGCAAACCTTTCCCAGAATACATCTACCAGCGTATTAAGACAAGGAACATGGTAAGCATATTACATTGTGTATATGTACAGTGTCTGTTAACACCTTCTTGTTTTTATAGAACACATACACTCTGAAAAGGGCAGTGCAGTAGAAAGCAATATTGCTTACTCTGTCATTACATTTAAAGGGACTCTATTTACTTTACTGGTTAAAGTTGTATTTTAGTCAGTAAGCAAAACCTGCTGGCTGCTTAATAGTTTTAGGGCTTGTGCACACTAGCAGCTTTGGGGAAGGGGGGGGCAGTAAAAAAAACCCTGTGGTTGAGCCATGGTTACTGCCCCCCAACTGCTCCCCCCTTTAGATGCAGAGGCAGCAGTCGGGGGTGTGCATATGCCATAGCAGGAGTTATACCCCTTGCCGCTTTCGGCAAGCTACACCATCCAATTGTGACCTCTTCAATTGAATGAGGCGGCTCTGCAAGAACCTCGCAACCTTGTGCAATGCACGTAGTTGCGGCATGCTATTGCAGGGTCCGACGGATTAAAACAGGTGATGAGGACGCATGGGATCCAAACTTGAATCGCTCTTCAGAGATCAAAGCTTGTGTGAATGAGCCCTTACAGCAAACATGCGCTTTGCCCATTTAGGGCAAAGACACTGGTTTGCTTTTACCCCGTCATTCCGCTTCAACATATACTTCCCCTTTGTTCCTCTATTTATTTCCAGCAGCAGAAGGAAATACTTGTAACTTCTGGATATGGATGAGCACGTGACTCACCCTATACATGGAATTCATCATTGCTGTCACACAGTCCATAGCTCTGTGTAATGCCTAGTACACACGATGAGAATATCAGGCAGACAAAAAAAAAAAAAACACGCATTCAGAGCGATTGTCTGATAATCTATTCATTAGTACACAGCTTTTGATAGCTAATCAAGACAGTTCATGTGAAAATATATGAAGTGAGAAGCACAAAAATGTTTCTCATATAATAGAATGAACGATTTTTGTGTAATTAGTATAGTATTTACAGTATATAGGAAAAAAAAATATTGACCAAGACTGCGCATGCTTGGAAATTAAATCATACATTACAATACAATACATTACATCACTTCCAAAGTTGTATTTTATCTTACGAGAATTTTTGGTAACTTTAGTAAGCTTTTAGTTTTCAGTATGAGACTAGCATGCAAAAAACTCATTCGTCCAATATTCTCATTGTGTGTAGTAGGCATAAGCCATTATCCCACCAACTTTTAGCCCAAAAAGGACTCCCCTTCACTACTGACAGGTAAACAGAGCAGCAGGAGAGAGAAGTTAAAGCAAATATATGTGACTGGGGGAAGGGGCATTAACTCCTTCCCACCGGGCCTATTGCAATATGATGGCCAGGCAGGATCCTTATTATCCTGGTAGGACGTCATATGAAGTCCTCCCTGGATCGCACCCCACGGGCCACTCTCTGGCGTGATGTGTCACACAGCCGATGACTTATCATTACACAGGCTAGCTGCCAGTGTCATGTGTCTGCTGTGACCAATCACAGCAAATCACATGACAGTTGTAAACAATGAATGGCTTCCTTTCATGACATTTATTGCTTACATCTGTGTTGCTAGCTGTCATTGGTCACAGTGATCACATGGTACCATGTACCAATCACAGCTGTTCACAACAATAACTACTGAATGAATCAGCTGATCGGTTGTTTATACCAATGACATTCACTGCTATAAGCAATTATAATGTAAAAAAAATTATCACTTGCCCTGAATAGTACTACGTTGCTATGGTAGCATTGTATTGCTCTGGTCACAGGAGTAAAAAAAAACTAAAAAAACAGACAATTTAAAAAAAAATGTTTTCTCAAAAAATGAGATTGGCTGGCATTAGCATTGATCGATTTTCACATATATACCATAGTTTGTGGACTCTATAACTTTCCTACAGAGTAAATAATAAACACCGATTTGGGTTATTTTCGCCAAAGAAATGTAGCAGAATACATTTTAGCCAACATTTTTATAGAAAGATTATTTAATAGCATAGTTAAATCCGTGTATTCTTATACTCCGAGACAGAATAGTTTACAACTTATGGTAGAGTCACCATTGAGGTATTTGTATATGGTCATCATATCTCCTCTCAAGCGTCTCTTCTCTATTTGTAAAATAACAGAAATGAAGAAAAACTTTTTTTTTTTAATTTTTTGGTCTTTTTTTCGTTTATAGCGTAAAAAATAAAAACTCCAGTGGTAATTAAATACCACCAAAAGAAATCTCTGTTAGTGTAAAAAAAGTGATAACAATTTCCTGTGTGTACAGTGTTACAATTGAACATTATTTCCTTTGAAGTAAGCACCTTGTGAGTGTACACAATGCTCCCACTGATTTTTCCATTCTTCATAGCATCCCTGGAAGTCTTCAAGTGGGATGGTGTTCAGAACCTGCGTATTGGCTCTTTGAACGTTATCCACACTACCAAAATGGTGCCTCTTTATCTTTGGGAATATGAAAAAGTCACAAGTAGCGAACGCTGAGCTTTAGGGTGGATGGGGAAGCACCATGATGTGTTTTTTAGCCAAAAATGGTCTGACAGCCAAAGCACTGAGTGTGTTGTCGTGATGAAGGATCCAAGTTGAGCCGATCTCAGGACCCACATGAAAAAAACTCTTTGTCTCAATTGACCAAGAACTTCCAGGTAAAATTTTTGATTCACAGTTTAACTACCGTGTTTCCCCGAAAAGAAGACATACCCATAAAATAAGCCGTAGTAGGATATCTAAGCATTTGCGCAATATAAGCCATACCCCGAAAATAAGACATAGTGCTAGGCGTGGCTATGCAGCGTACCGGGGCGGAACAGTAAAAAAGACGGGCAACCCTTCTCATCTGCCCCATCATGACAGCTGCTATCTCGGAGGTGACTGGAGAGGTACGGGCAGCCCCATCAACAAGGTCGGCTCCCCCTGTCAGGCATAGAGGGAGACATAGAAAGTGAAAGTCTCCTCAATGCAGTGAGGAGCAGGACGGTCTGCTTTAGGTACCATATTGTGTGTCCTCAGGGGGAAGAAGTAAACCTGTGCCTGCCGCTTTACTCCCCAGCACCAGCCACAGTGTGGGTCTCTCTCTCCCCAGTAGCACCAACCAGCCACAGTCTGTGGGTCTCTCTCACCCCCACAAACACCAGTAAAACTGCTGCTCGCCACCACTGACCAGCAACAGTCTGTGGGTCTCTCTCACCCCCAACAAACACCAGTAAAACTGCTGCTCCCCAGCACTGACCAGCAACAGTCTGTGGGTCTCTCTCACCCCCTACAAACACCAGTAAAACTGCTGCTCTCCCAGCACTGACCAGCAACAGTCTGTGGGTCTCTCTCACCCCCCACAAACACCAGGGGATAGGGGAAAAGCTTCAGCAAGCAGTCTGCTACTAAGCCCAGAGAGATCATCCCAGCTCCACTGTGCAGATTGGACACAGTTCTCACTGGATCCCTGATAAATATGCCAGCCCTTACACATCAGCTTTGCTGGCCTATCTCTGATCTTCCTGAGTATCTGTACCCCCAGACAAGATGAGTGCAAAAAGAAAGAGAGATTCTGTTCAGTACAAGAAAGGAATTGTGGAGGACTCCCAGGGCAAGAGTCTTACGGCTTTCTGCAAAGAGAAGAAGTTGGATATCCGAATTGTCCAAAAATGGCGGGCAGAATACGATAACCTCAGTCTACAGGTGGACAGAGGAAATGCTAAGAAGCGTAAGTGTGGTTCTGGTCGGCAACCTTTATTTCTTGAGCTGGAAGACATGATCAGTGAATGGATTGCTGACAGGAGAGCAAAGGCTTTGGTTGTGTGCAGGGCTGATATTCAAGCATTTGCCCTTGCATTGGCACCACAATTCGAAATATCCCCAGAATTCAAAGCATCACAACACTGGCTGCATGGCTTCCTTCAGCGATATGAACTGTCTCTCAGAAAATCAACAACACTGTTTAAGTTGAAAGATGCTATAGTTATTAATCGAGCACTTGCATTCAAGTCCTTTGTTGATGGAATCGACTTTTCTAAATACCAACTTTGCAACATGATTGCTATGGATGAAACTGCAGTGTTTATGGGTCAAGGAGCCCAAATGACAATTGAACAGAGGGGTGCCTCCTCAATCTACGTTCCCTCCACTGGTCACAAACGTTCACGTGTTACCTGTATTTTGGCAATTCATCTAGATGGAAAGAAAGCCACACCTCTTATCACTAAGGGCAAGAAAGATAAGATTGAACGTGTTTCCTGCATTTGTGTTCTTGGAACCGAAAAAGCCTGGTGCACACAAGCAGTTATAAGGAAGTGGCTTGATTTAATGCTGCCACTTGTTTTGTGAGGTGGCCAAAGAGGTCTGCTAGTCTTTGATTCAGCCAGCACTCACCGTGCTAAAGACATGAAGAACTTCCTTGCAGAGAGAAGAATAGATCAAATAATGATTCCTGCAGGAATGACTGCCTATCTGCAGACTCTTGATATTGCAATAAACAAGCCATTCAAAGACCATTTGTGTTTGGAAATTAATGACTATATTGAAAATAGAATGACAAGAAATTAGCGCGGAAACTTTGTGAAACCTAGCCTGCAAGAGGTCGTGATTTGGGTGAAGAATTCAAGGGATAAAATCACTGACAGTGTTGTTGCCAATGCACTCCGAGCAGGTTACGTGGATAAGAGCTGCTCATTTAATGACAGCTCTATTGCTCGACATGAAAGATTGGGGCCAATGGTTCTAAAGGAAATGGAGTCGCAAGAAATTCAGGATGGAATTCAGTGTTTGGGGAGTTATGACGATGTTCCAGAAGAAGACAAATTAACTATATTTGAATAAACGTAGATTTTTGTACCATACTTACCGGTAATAAAAATAAGACATGCCTTGAAAATAAGCCATAGTGTGTCTTCTTGAGGAAAAATAAATATAAGACAGTGTTTTATTTTTTGGGAAACATGGTAGTAGGTACAAATTTCAACATGAATGAAAAAAAAATGATGACCTTTGATTTGCTCATTCGA